CCCTCACGTTATGAGACTAAAACCCCAACAGTTAGCAGCATCAGGAAGCAAGTTGATACTTATGTTTCTTTGGCATCTGAGAAGTGTTGGGCAAATTGGGTGAATCATTCAACATTCCCATAATTGTCTCTGAATCAATACCACCAAGTGTTAGATATGCATAATCACTGTTGAATATGAACAAACTAGCTATGAAAGGTACTGTCTAAATTTTGGTAGAGCAGTGAGGGTGCGAAAACAGGACAGTAGCCAGTTATTACAATTTATCATTACAGTCAGGTTGGTACAAAAAAAAACTTGATTCATTCATAGAATTATCATAGAGCAGAAAAAAATATAGAAAAATTCAAAGCAGTCTACTTTTCAGTAAAGCTGACCCCTGCCAGTAGGTTCCACTTACTAAATGGGGCTTGGATTCCAGATGTTCATCTCTGTTTTAATTTCAAATGATACATTGACAGCTTCCAAATGTATAGTACGTGTTGGAATTTACAAAATAACCTTTTACACACATGTATAATATACTTTTCAGTTTTATGTACTGTATAATTATTGAAAATAAATGCTATTTTTTTTTTTCTAAATGAATTGTGCCACTGTAGCTCTTTTATACTGTTAATATGAATGTAGCAACACCTTATTTTAATTGTGAGCTTTTTATACTGTAATTATGATGCAGTGATAAGCTGGAAAGTGCCATGTCTGTAAGGCAGGCTGAGATATCTACTTACTTGGTACCAGCAAAGGCAAGTGGAAAGGTGAGAGCTGGGGATGCTTCTGCAGGCAGACAGGGAAGCCACTTGCAGCCATGCTGAAAAGGGCAGGGGAATCAGTGCAGCCAAGCAAGGCAGGAAAAACAGGAAGCTGCACAGTCCAGCTGGTCTGGTTGGTCGCTGTGAGGGCGTAGTGAGAACGGGTAAGATGGGGATCTAGCTGGCAGCGCGGTTCCATCTCAGGATCTGGCAATCGGGCTGATTCAGGCAGAATCCAAAATGTTTTACAGGCTGGTTGGTGCAGGAACCATTTCCATAATTCAGTAGGAAGCTCAATGACAGAGCACCTGACCCTACACAGAACAGAATTGAAGTACCTTGGAGCTGATGAGATAATTACCTATTAAGTGGGTGCGGGTGCCTTGGACAGCCTTTCCGAATGAGTTCTCCCAACACTGCATGCGAACGCAACTGCTTGCCATAGAGAGGGCTGCACGCATCGGCATAATAATAACTAATTAAGATAAAACATACATTTAATTTATAACGCATTTTAAAGGTGCTTTTGATTTTTTAATTGTGGGGTTTGTTGTACTTTCACTACTGAATTGATGAGTGCTAGCCAAGATCTAATTTGGGAAGAACAGCTAAAAGGCCAGCATTAGGACAACTTGTTTAAGGCATTTATAAATCGTAGCATTAGAGGGAAGGGAGAGCTGGCTAAAGTGGCCAATACTGAAACATTTCTGTCATGTGACATATGATAAGAAAGTGGCCATACTTGGCCATCATCACTTTTCACTCTGTCACAACCTTTACACTCACACCTACCTCTTCTTTTTTGGTATCATCCCTGCAATGTAGGAATGTGTAGGAATTGTCCATTACATTGAAATGATCATCCTGACTTTGGCATCTCAGTTTTTCCACCAAGAAGTTACTTTAAATTTGGCCTAGTTTCTCAAAGAAATTACAAGTTTTGTCTAAGCATAGGTTAAGGCTTTAAATACAATGTGCATAGAGAGATTGTTATGTTTTCCTTCCAAAAAAAGTAAAAAAGGAGGTTCACTACATCTAATCGGCGCATCATGTTATCTATCAAGTAAATTACAAAGTGTGCCCATCCTGACTGAAACAAGTGCAAACATCGAAGTCACTAGTGATGTCATGTTACAGCTGCTGCTGTAGTTGGGTTTCCTTTTGCAAACATAATGGGAGGGGGGAGAACAGAGAGATGTCACTGGACTCACATGACAAAGAGCTGCCATTATGTAACTGTGACAGAATGCCTCCACAGGCAATTTCTAAAAATTATTTAAACAATGTAATAAGTGAAATGTCACCGTTAACTAATTATGTTTATGCTAATTGATAATTAGCCTCTTAATGGAGACTGTCTTAATTAACAATGGCTGTGAAAATGTGCACGAGAGAGAGCAAGTCCATAAATGAAGCTAGTAATTGCCAGCTTCCAGTGATTAACATAGATTTATTGGGCTTTTACAGCTTTTGTTTAATATTAGGATGACTTGAAAAATTCTCTCTGTATATATAGAGAGTGTTTTGCATAGCTAATCATTTACTGTGTTTTTAAAGAGCGAGGACTTTTTATATATCCAACAGTACTTCTGAGTTTTACTCGCTATGCTTAATTAAAATACTTGAAAATAAGTGACAAAATTAATTTTGGTTGTTTAGGGCACGTACATAATATTTTTAGCAAGGATTAAAATTGGGAATTGTCATTATGACCCCCCTCCACTATACACTAAAATTTACAAAGCTCCTTTGTACACACAAGACATATTTTTTCCTGGGGCATATTTACTATAGCAGAAATGCGCATGACTCAGTGAAGCATTAGAGATAAGGAATCCCATTGCACTAATCAATAGATGCTACTTGATTTTTAATTATTGATGACTCACACCAGAGTTTGTATTATTTCTGCTTCTCTTTAATATAAAATCAGTATACCTGTTAGCTTTCTAAATAGTTTTTGCATTTGTACTTTTCTATTAAATCTGTTTTTTAAAAATGTGCATTTTGTACAGTAATTATAAATGGATAGCATTCACAACAACTTTTAATAATTTCTGTTATCTCGATTTCTCCCAGTAAATAGAAATTAGAAAAAAAAACAGGAATCTGGAAAAATTAAAGAGTTTAATGCTTTTAAATACTAATGAATTATTAGACTTTTTAGAACGCTCACCTTTAATCTGTTGAAATGAAAGTTATACCAGCATCTAACTGGTTTAACTACGGAACAGATTAAGTCATCTGTGGGCTACAAAGAACTGGTCACACATTTATTAATCCTAGGTGTTTCTTGGCTGAAGGTGTGGAGGAGAATTTTCAGAAGCTGAAAACATTCCGAGTCACCTTGAAGTACAGTATGAACAGGTATGGCCAAAAAAGAAAATGAACATGCTAGAAAAGCACTAGGTAAAAATAACATCTTTAATGCTGTTCTTGTGCCTTTGAACAGAAATCTGAATCATCTCCAACACCTGAGAAACACAGTATGATTGCAAGCTGCTCTTCTTGTGTTTGATGCATGGATCCTATCTTTTAGTTAGTAATGAGATGGAGAAGTACCTTAGGAAGTTTATTATGAAAACCCCAATTCCATAAAAACAGGCAACAGCTTTTCCCCTCAGTACATTTAAGCTCAATCACAACCAAATACCATCCATGCTATGATACATTTTCTGAACTGCCCATAAGCATGTTTGTCTTGGGGGCACAATTTCACTACTTAAAACCTCAAGCTGGACAGATAACCCCTTCACCCCTTCACACATTGGAGTTAAACCCCCTAAGCCATTGTTAAAGTGAAGCGGTTTGACATTTAAGAAAAAAGTAGGTCATGGGCCATCCTGGTTAATGAAAGAATGCCATTTTTCAAAGTTTGACTTTTATTGTCGCTAGAGATTACACCAGACAAGTGTGGAGTTCACTACTTAAAACTTTTTAAAAATCAGAATAGTCTAAAATTCATAAAGCAGAAAGTACAAATTTCCTTGATGGGAGTTGTAATATGATATTCCCAAAATCAGAAGTATCAAAAGGCAGATAAGACCCAGGGAAAATGTGGGCAGCATGCCAACAGGTTGCAGTGTTGCATGCAGGCAGGGGCCCAGATCAGTCTGCCCATCCAGCTGCCTTTCAAAGAGGCAACCAATCTTCTAATTGAAGGCTATTAAAGGCTTGCTTCTCCCCTAGACCAGTGCTCTGCCATTGAGTGCTGAAAGCCAGCTACCCGGCTGCCCCAGTTCTCCAGCAGCCTCCTGCTACTCCATGGACTTTCCCCTCAAACAGCTCTCAGATTCACTGGTTTGTCAGGGTAGCTGGACACCCTATCTACTCTGTCTTGCTGTATACCCACAATCCAAAACCCCCCAGAGAATCCCAAAATCCTGCAGTTTACCTGCCCACCGCGGCATCACTCTGCAGTACACGCACATTAACAGTCCACAGTTAAGAATCTCACATGATTCCACCAAGATATTGCCCTACTCAAGTCACAAGCGTGTCGCAGTTTAATTCTCTGAAAGTGAACGTGTTTCAATCATTAGTCTCTCGAAGTGATTTGACTTGGTTGAACACGGAGCATGTTTCTGTTCCAAAACGATCATATGTGGGGAAAAACAAATGCATATTATATTTGAGTATACATATATCAAAGTATTACTGTGACAGTAGTCTGTCATTGTTTCCAACTAAACGCGTACAGGCAAGGCGAGTTCAGATTGCCGAGTTCGTTTTTACAGCGCGGGTGGAAATGTTCCCGTCCTTACCCGGTTCATTTCACACCATGTGGGTAAACACGCGGACTGTAAAAAAAAAAAAGATTCGGGGAGAAAATATAAAAGTCTATTCTAACCAGAAAATAAAGAGCGCTTACATGTAAAGGAAGAGGGAAGGAAAAAAATCACCGGCGTGCAGAAAAAGCCCAGTTCCTGTTCGCAAGACGGGGAAGGTCCTAAAAATAGGCCGGGTGCCGGTAGAAGGTTAATTATATGCCTGTGAGCCAGCCAAAGGATTAGTCCATTCTTAATGGACTGAGGGAGAGGAATGTATTCTAAATGTCCAGATATTAACTGAATATTGAAATTATTATTGCTTCTACTGTTTGTGTATGTGTGTCCAAGTAGTATGGATTACAATGAATGTTATGTGATATGTGTTGTCCTGTGTGTTTAAGGGTTTTTTCGTGTGTGTGTCTGTCTTGGTAATGGTACGTCCCAACCATATATAAGAGATTGGGAAGGGCTTGTGGTGTTGGATGTGTTGGTGTAAGGAGAGGAAGTGGTGAGTGTGAAGTGGGGGATGTATTTATTTAATCATAAGGCTCATTGAGTGTTTTTTTTTTGTGTAAGATGGAAGCCCTTATTTGTGTATACAGTGTGAAGACAAAGAACCTGTGAGGAAAGGGGAGGTGTACTCTACAGCTTGTTTTATTGGGTACCTATGCTACCCACATAAGGTGTTATGTATGTATATACTATATATGCAAGTGCACTTGCTTATATTCTCATGGTCATAAATAAAAATTGCTTGTGTAAAGCAAGCATTTTTTACTTGTTTGTAGTCCTCTACACCACATGGCAGTTACATCCCTGTGCCCACAGTAATTTTTGTGAAGTACAGTGCCACATTCTCACTACTAAAATTAATCTGATAACTTGGTTTCCTTTCTTCAGTTTGAAATAAAAGTCTGCAATGACTTGCTTTTAGAATTAATAACTTTGATCACAGCTCTGTCTTTGTGCCAGGCCAGAAAATCAACTTACTAGTGCATTGTGTAGTTTTTGCATAACATATTGCACCGATGTGACCTAATTTGCAGTATAGATGTCAATTGACATAGAATTGCAAATAGTTAAAATTAGAAAAATATTGTCTTAAATTCTGAGACTTTCTGAAGCAATGTTTTACTTTGTATTTTTCTTTATGCAATACAATGTCTTACAAACTGTATCTATAGGCTTTGACTCTTGAGAAAACCTCATGTTTACCTTGGTTAGAAAGGAGACTGATGTGGCATTGATTGACAATGATACGCATAACCTCACCTTGTCAGTGTATTCTGAAGCTTGTATAATTGTTACAAAGCAGAACATCTTGCTTTAATTATCTGTGCTAAATCTCATACTCCTCTGTTTCACTCAGCTGATTGAATTTGACACAAAGTAGAGTACTTATCTGCAGTAGAAACAAAATGACAAACCCACATTGTGTAATATTTGACAGGAAATGCCAATTTAGTGTTCTTGATACTAGCCAAACCTATTGTATCTTTCAGCAGTGACATCCCTGACCATAGTATGATGTAAAAAGGAGCTTAATTTTATAACAAAATGTAATTGTTGCATGAGAATCATTAAATGACCAATCACAAGTAGCAATATGTAGTACTACAGTATATTAAGATTCTGTAGTGTGTCTTTATTAGAGAGCTACACTCTCACCACCCAGCCATGAGATGCAAAATACAGGATCATTTCAACTACGGATTAGCAACATGCAAGACAGACAAGGGACATGTGTCTTGGAGACAGTTATTAAGTTCATATGTCTAGGTTAAGGAATGTTCAGACATCACTTTGCATCTTTTTCTGGTCCTCTCAAAACCTCAAATATTTACAGCTTCGGCCATCCACCAGGAACAGCCTGTGTTTTAACCTTGACTGAGACCTTCCCTTGGTGCCTTGAGCTACGAACCCTTCTGCTTTGTCTTGACCTTGGCTTGGGATTATGTCCTTGGTTTATGTCCTGGTTTATTTCAAGAAATGGCTAGATGGATTTGGATTAATCAGCCACTATGCATGGGCTAGACAGGCAGAATGTCTACCTAAAACATTTGTAACTTCTTATTTTCCAATGTGTTGTAAAACGTTCCCCTCAGGTAAGTGGTATACTCAGATTCCCCCAAGTATGGGGAAACTTTGGAAAATGTATTTTTCCTCAGTGTATTTCATTCCAAATCGGGAAGTACAGTATTGAGAGTGAATTTAATTTTTTCTGCAAGTTATTCTACTCAAGCATATTGGAGCTATAGCATATTTGTGGACTTAAAAATTGATTTATAAATAAGAAGTTAAACTCGGCTGGGCTTCTTAGCAATACTGAAGATTATTTCAAATGTGAAATAACATTCTTAATTCCACCCTTTTGATAGATCTTTTTGGAATTGTCATGATTTCTTTTGAAAGGTTCCATGTATTACTTCTCTATCAACTCCCACTGTTGGCTTAATTAGTATTCACTTCTGCTTGATTTTTTTTTTATCCTCTTTAATCTGATACATTCCACTGTCCAGGTGTTTTCACATTTTCAGGGTTTATCCTGCTAAATCTCAGGCTCAGGTGCTGATAAATCTAATGCCATGACCACTGCTCCAGAGCACAAAAGTGATAATGGGCCGCTCTCACTGCTTGCTAAAAGGTTGAGGTGCTGCCACCTGGAAATCTTCCAAGTGTCACACTTGCTACAGCTCCTTAAACTAGCTGGGCAGGTCATCGGGTACTGTGGAAATGTCCTAGAAATACTGTAAAATTGCTTTTTTCCCCATAGCTTATCAACACCCCTTGTTCTGCACAAACAAAATAATACCGCTTCTAATGTTTATCAGACACAGGGATAAATCTTAAAGAATGAACATCTACAACACATTTCAGCCACTGGGGACTCTGCTAGTGACCCCTACTTCAGGATGTGTGTTGTCCCTTCATCCTTGTCCTTGACCACAGTCCTGGCTTTTTCATCTTTTTTTCTCCCTGAAGTGATAGATATTGGTTCCTCCCCCCCCCCCCAAAAAGGATGAACAAAGGCTGCTTTCACGGTCCCTGTTACCTGACAGGAATCAATATCTATTACAATGTAATGTTGCCACATTCATTACTGGTTCTACTCAAGTCAGCTTTTGTAGGCATTGCTATAGCTCCAGCAAGATGGTCAATACTGGGTTTTACCACACATGATTTGGTTCATCTTGCTGTGAGACTAGAAAATAAATGTCCTTACTTAGTGGTTAGTGGATCACATCTGCTGAATGGTGGGGATTCCAATCTTATTTATTTCATAAAATAGAGAAGTTTTGCATGAATAGATTCTTAACATTCTTCTTCTGTAACTTCCCACAGTTACTTACAGTAGATATTCTTCTAAATGCCTGCAGAGGGTGTGCAAATGTGCTTGCCACTACATCTGCAAAAGGAACGCTTAGTTATACATGTATACTGTAGAACTTGGATGTTTTGGAATCTAAATGAACTGATAATTACTCAATATTTTCATCTTTTAATGTGATCTGTTTAGTTTATGGGCAACATGGTGGTGCACTTGTTGTTGTCCCACAGGACCTAGGTTCTTTAGAGAAACCGATAAGATCCTTGGATGAATTGGCAACAATTGTATATGGCCAATAAAGTGATCTTATCAGTTTCAACAATATGGCTGGGCAACCCTTTTAGTAAAGTACTGTCCCCTTTTCACAATTTTAAATGTTCTTCCACATGAGTTCCATTTGTGTCCTCAGTTTTTTCACTTTTCATTCTGAAAATATCAATCTTGCTGAGAATAAAGGCTTTGAAAATTAACATCACAGAACATAGGCAGACATCTCTGGAAGTCCTGCACAATGTCATTTCCTGTAAGATCCAACTCGAACTTGTACAGGCATCCTGTGTGACAGGAACAGAATTACATTTCCGAATAAGATAACTGAGTGAACTCCAGATGTCTGGAGACCTGTTAAACCAGGTACACTTGGATGACTGTTTAATTGGCTTGGTAGTGAAATTCATGTATTGATCTAGGTAATGAAACTAATCACTTTGCTTACATAAATAACCAAATACCAACCAGACTGTTTTGAAAGGTGGTGCTGCACCACACAAACTAAAGATCCTTAAAAGGTCATTTTACCTTTGGTCACTTTTCTACTTGTCACATCGATGTGTATACTTCTACTGTTTTTTTTTTAGAAATCCTTATGTACTATACTACTTTTATAAATGATCCTTGTTTTTCTGCCTGAAAAATGGATAAAACTGTTTTGGTCTTGAGTGTTGCTTAGCTAACTGAATATAACAAGTAAAATGACTCTCTCAATCATTCTCACAGAAAATGTTTATTTAAACAATAGCTGACAAGCACTTGGAACACAATACTGTATTACCTTTAACCTATGACCTACCATAATATACTGTACACATGCTCCATTTATCAAAGACCTTCACTGAGACTCAAGTGTCTCCTTTCAACTTAAGTCTGAACTATATTTTTTCTAATAATGTGACAGACCTTTAAATGAAGGAGTGAATTCACTACAACAATAAAAGGGTAGCTAGAGCTCTTTGCCCCCTACTCAGCTTATGCCAACAGCAATAAAATCACTGTTTATTGGACTTTATACAGTAGTCAAATAAAAGAGGGATTTACGACAAACAAGAATAACTTGTTTTGGTAAACCTGTTTAGAGGTGTCTATAAAAAGAAAGCAATCAGCCCTGGAGTTTTTTTACTTTGTATGATAGCAGTAGGAAAATACCATTACATACAGTAGTATAATAGCACACCTGAAGCAAACAATATAATGATTAGTCTATTAATTTAGACTTAAATTCAGGGTGTTCATAAAATTACAATTTTACTCTTGTGAGGAGTGCATGTTCAATTACATTTTGAAAGTAAAAACAATAGGAAGTAATATGGAGAGCTACAAATTCCTTGGTGTACTGTATGTAAATGCTGGAAAATCTTAAAATGTCTGGTTTCAATTAGACCTCTGGGGAAACAGGAGGATTGAATCCTCCGAATGCCAAGTCTTTCATCCATACTTATTTATCTAAGTAAGTCCTCCTGTTCAGTGATCTGCTTTTCAGTTGTTTGATGGACTTTTTTTAAATTTTCAATATTTACAGAATGCACATCTAGGCTAAAATGGGTATTTCCAAGTTGAAAGCATATAAAATTGCCTGTCTGGAGTAAGTCCAGTGAACAGTAGCCTTGTACATTCTTGGACTTGAAGAAATGTCTTGCTCAAAATAAGTAACAAGTCTTTTTAGTCTTGAACAGAGAAGACTGAAGAATGAAGCACTCACATTTCTCAAAATTACTGACAAGTTAACTTGGTAAATTGTTTCAGTATCAACCAGTTTATATTTGGAAATACAAACTAGAGGATACAAGTGGAAACTACAGGAAAATGCATTCGAAACAGACAAAAGAAGGCTCTTTTTAACACCGAGTTAAGGACGTCTTGAGTGACGTTGATACCCTGGCATTTTTCAAGAAACTTGTTAGATTTGATCCTCCAATCACTCAGTTATTAAAATTGAATGAGTTTGATGGGCTCAACTGATTTCTCATCCTAAACCTTTCATTTGATCTAGCTTTCAATGAAACATGTAAATGGTAAATGTGTTTTGAAATTTGACAGTCTTCACATCACAACATCCAATGCATTTTCTCTTCAACTAAAAAATTAAATGCTTTCGATTTACCTTTTGTTTAATCTCAAATCCTAGTACTCTCGGGCTCTTAAATTGTCCTGAAATAGTTTTTTTTTATTGAATTTTTATTAACAGTATGTTTTCATTTTTGGTATCTCTTTCTAGATTTTGTGTGATGTCATGTTTTGACCTCTTTATTTCATCTGTGCAGTTTTTTTTTGTACACTGAAATGTCTGTTGTATAGACTAACCATGTGCAGTTGATCTACATTTTCAAAAATGTAGAAATCTTGTGCTCCCTTTAGAGGTGTGATGCCATTGGATTTACAACCAACCCTCCTTTGTACTAATTAAGCTGATAGGACTCTTGGTTCCAATGCATTTAAACTACTTCAGACGTGGCACATTACACAATTTAAGGCCCCTTCCACAAGTGCTAGAGGAGATACCAGGCCAGTGTGCATAAATCCACCCAATCTGTAATCAAAAAGATGGTAGGAATGCTGAGCATGTATAATAGATGTATCTTGTCATTGCTGTGGGGCTCCGCAGCTCCTCACTTTAAGGGTGGGTGATATTTATCGGCAATGCAGAATACTGAATTGCATACTGATTGAAGAGCCTTAACTCCGGGGTGACATGGAAACTAACATCGCTGACAAAATACAATCAAAGGTCCTCGTTTGGAGGGAACAAAGGGAGGTAGAAATCCTGAAGGCAGGCTTGTGAAGGCCAAAATGTCTTATCTTTTCGTATGCCTGCACAGACAATTACTAACAAGCTTCAGAAAAATGCACCCTTTAAGATGTATTTTACCTGCTTCCTGTGTGTAAAAAAAAAAAGTCATGCCACTCCAGGTGGTGATACTATGGGCTTCAAAAGAAAACACTATGAATATTACCAGCAGCCATCGCACCCTGCAGCTCTCAACTGGCAACCCACTGAAGCTCAGCAGCTGTGAGCCTGGTCAGTACCTGGATGGGACAATTCCAGGGGAAAAAAGGTTGCTGCTGGAAGAGGTATTAGAGGCCAGTAAGAGGTGCTCACCCAGCGGTCTGTGTGGGTCCTAATGCCCTGGTATAGGGAGGGGGAGGTCTTGACTCCGGTCATTAAAAATCCCAGGGTGTTTCTTGAAAAGAGTAGGGGCGTTATCCTGGTCTCTTGGTCGATCATGGCCTCCTAAGAATCCCCCCGTATAAATAGGCTTCATCACTCTTTTCTCCTCCCCACTGATAGCTGGTGTGTAGTGAGTGTACTGGTGCACTATGGCTGCTGTTGCATCATTCATGTGGGGCTGCACATTGGTTGTGGTGGAAGAGAGCTCCCATTACCTGTAAAGTGCTTTGAGTGGAGTGTTTAAAACTGCTTTAGAAATGGGTATCATGGGTAATATTTTTTTTCCTTCCTTGTTTAGATAACCTGACCTGGTTTCAGTGATAACTGGAAGTTGATTGCAAATTATTCCAGTATTTCCCTGGAGGTAATCTCTAAAAGTTTGCATGGTATCCATTAAGGGGTATTCACACTGTAATCTTATTTTTACACCAAATTTTCCATTCTGTTTTGTATTGGGATTCTCAAACTCTTCTCAAACAAGACGGTGTGGGAAGTGTACATACTATACATGACAAATGTTATCTACAAGGTGTCTTGTTTACTATACAATACAGCATTGTAGTTAACTGTGGAATTGGAAATCGGTTCATTTTGGTCTATCATACTTGTACCCAAAGCTAGTATTAGATTGTCTGATGTTTAGATGAAAAATCCACAAGTTTGGATTTGTTTTCCCTCAGCGGTTTCTTTGTGGGGTGCTTAAAATATACTGTGAAGTAACATAGCATGAATAAACCTTGAGTGTGAGGGGAATTTGATAACTCACAATTTTAACCATTTAACTTGCATTTTAAACAAAGCACTAGGAATTTCCATAAATCCTGAATTTTATTTTTTAATTGGATCTTGTAACCTATTTTAAGAACTTATTATTCTAGTATGCATTTTATTAATCACTTTATCTAATACAGGGTCACAAGGGAGCTGGAGCCTATGCTGGCAAGCATTAGACCTGATCAGCATCAACTTTGTTTACCTATTAAATTTATGCACACCACAGAATAGAATACTAGCAACTGCACACAATCTAAGAAACAATCCTCACTTTAGTATCTATGTAATCTGAGTGGATAACAGATTCACTGAGTAACTTCATCTTCCTCTGCAAAGTAATTTATCCATTTTCTTAACCACTTCATGCAGTTCAGCATCACAGGGGAGCCAGAGCCTATCCTGGCAAGCAATGCACGCCAGGAAGGTTACATCCTGGGAGCGTCTCCAGTCCATTGCAGGGCACACACTCGCACCAGGACCAGTTTTCCTGGAAGCCACTGAACCTACAATGTCTCGACTGTGGAAGGAAATCGGAGCACCCATAGAAAACGCGTGCAAACACAGGCACAACACCCAAAATCCACACAGATGGCACACCAGGAACTGAACCGAAACTCCTAGTGGTGCCAGGCAGTAATGCTAACCACTACACCACCATGCCACCTAGTACCTGTTAATTTTACTTCATTCTTTGCTGTATCATGATCTATTTTGCAATACTTTGGAATGGTGTTCACCCTAAAAAGTGCTCAACAAATTCATAATTGATTGCATATGCTGTAAGTCAGTTATGCACATGACACTTATACACAAGCTATTAATGAACCGAATTGTCTGTCTGTTGGGTTCCATGTTGCTTCATAATCCCATTTGTCCATCTGATGAAATTAATGCAATGCTGATTTGTTTCAGTTTGTCACTTTTTTGTTTTGAAGCTGGAAAAATGTATCTGTTCACCATAAAGATCTGTTTTAATGTAATCCAATAAAACTTTATTCTTTTTCATGGTGTTTTGCAGTTTCAAAACTGGTCTATACAGTAGTATATTGGACAAAATGAATTGTTCCAACACTTTCATAAATGAAAGCATTTCGTATGTTTGTGTGTATCCAGTTATCCATTTAGATTGTTGGGAAATTGATTTACACGTGCTTATTGCCATCTGCCTTACTCCTGTTGGTGAAGTTTAGCTCTTCCCCCCCACACCGTTAGTGTATATCTGGGTGGCTGCTATCTGCCCTTTAAGAAGTATTCATGTCTTGATTTGTATGTCTACAAATCTATTAAAATCCATGTTTATAAGGAGATACTGATAAAACCCCCAAAACTGAATACCTTCAATTTTGTCCTGCCTCCCTATCCTAAAACTACCTTTCTTGCTCTGTAATATGTGAGAATACATCCATTGTATTTTCTTATTCTGTGGTTTTAGCTTTTCATTTTCATTAAGTTGTGTGAGTGAAGATCTAGACGTTATCATTATGAATACATTTTCCTCCTGAATAAAGTATTTGGATTGTGTGCATTGTTGTGAGTTTATATATTATATATAATAAAAAATATCAGAGTCCCTTTAGAACAACAATATATGGAGTACCAGTTGTAAAACTTAATCTGCATTTTCTGAAAGACGCATAGTCTTCAAGAGTTAATTGAGGAGCTAGAAACATGTGTGGTTAAGTTTCTGTATGTTCAACAAAGATTTAAATTTTGTACTGTACCATTCATTGAGTATTATGCATAGAAAATTACTCAAGATGAACATCCATAAAATCATTAGACTTTAATATCAGTGCTAACACACCCCATTTTATGAAATAAAATTTTCAAATAAAAGCATTTCTGTATTTACATGACTTTTTATATTGTATGGTATGTCTACCAGGCTGATGCTTCTTTGACATGCTAATCAATATCTGTCTTAAACACTAAGATTGTAAGTTGGGAAAAATTGCACCTTAAGCAAACTCGATGGAGTTTAACAGAAGTCTCACCAGTCATTGCACCCTGTATTTAAGATAAGCCGTTATCTTTGTCCATCCACCAGAAAGACATCTAGCTCCAAAGCATTAGAATATTTGTTGTGCTATTGGAGAGTGAATATTCTTACTAGCAGTGCAGGTGCCATGCAGCATGAAAGAGATCTACTCTTCCTTGTGTTGCCTCCTGCCCACTTTGTGACACTATTTCCTTAATGTCTTCAGTGATAAATCCAGATTCTCTCTTCATTATACTGACTGATGGGTCTCCCAAGGGCTCCTCAAGTGGTTCAACTGGGAAAGGTGCTTGCTCTAAGCACACTCTGGCCTTCATGATCCAATTGTCTCAAGTAGGAGTCTGGGTCATGTGACTGGGATTCCCCAGACAGCAATGCACAGCTAAGTCAGTACCAGCTGTGCTGAGGACTGTCAGCCAGAGCTCTCTCCATTTCCAGAAAAACGGTGACCCCCTGTGATTGGACAAGAGTGCCTGAAGGCTCATGGTGTCAGTGAGGGAGTTTGTTTGCAACCTATCTGTTGCACCTTTGAGCAGACACCTGAAGACACAATTAAGATGAGGAAAACAAATTGGCAAGTTATTTTACCATTGAATAAAGCCTTTAAAAAAGAAATAAATATGTAGTCATAGAGGTGCAGGCTTTGGAGAAAATCTCATTACATCAGGTTGCAGAATGCAGAATATTTTTTATAAAGCACCTTTCCAAACCCAAGGGTGCTGTACATCATGCATAAAGAAAAAGATGAAAAAATACAATAGTAAATGAAGAACCGTTATTTTACGGGTTGATTGTAGGCAATCAGATGTAGACCTTGGCAAAAAAGTATGTTTAGATTAGATTTAAGTTTAGATTGGAAGAGAGTTAAAGACGTTCTCAGTCATAAAGCCTGAGACAGGTCATTCCACAACACTGGAGCAGCAACAGAGAAGGCACAGCTTGTAGGGAAAGGCAGTTGTCACCCAAACAGAGGGACCTGCATGGTACAGAGGTGAAATTCTCCATACAAGTTTGTATGTTTAATTGGCACAAAACTCAGATGGATGGAGTGGTCCTTTTCCTTTGTATTAGAGACTACACAGTAGTTTTTTGTACACAGCCTGTGTATTTTCTTAAAGTCAATCCATATTTAATAATTTAATAAAGCATACAGTACAAAATACTTTTTAAAAGAAATTGACTAGTGAAATGACTAGGTAGATTTTCAGTCAGCTGCAGTAGACCTATAAGTTTTTTTTAATATCTACAGAAACTTTTCAAAACTCTAACAGTTATGTCTAATGCAATGTATAGGAATCCAATAGAAAAGTGTGTAGTGCAGGTGTAGTGTTTATGGCATATCCTTTGGCTGCTTTAAGAAACGCACAGTAAACATATTTGACTTTACTTGTAGAAAACGTTTACTCCATCTAGACAAGCAATGAAAATTTAATCAGAACGCTTGAATTAAAATAAAGGCTTACTAGTTTTATTCTCATCCAAAATGGAATTTGTGTCTTGGTGTTTAATATGAATAACGAGTGAGAAAGGTACATTATTGCATTTATACATTGTGTAATTGACTATTCAGCAAAACCTTTCGTTGGGAAAACGAATGCTCAAAAAATCTTGCATTAATTGACAATAAATCGCAGTGCTGTGCTTTTAATGCACGTTGTGTAGACTTTTATCAAGCCGACAGTGCTAATTTTAGTTCACCCGATTTTAGAGCACGAAAATGAAAAAAGACTCAGCCTACTAATTCCTAAAACGCCTTTTCTCTACATCCTCCCGTCTCTTTTCTCTACACCCCTCCCTCTCTTTCTCCCTGTCTCCCCCTCTCTGTATCTGAAGTCAGTGGTTGTATATTTGTTCCTTCACGGCTCCTCGTCCTTAGATTAGATTTCTCCTTTCTCATTACCAGCCTTAATAGACCCTTCAGACCTCATTCCAGCCCCAGATATTATCTGACCCGTATAATTAATTAATTATAGCCCAAATATTATAGATTATTAAAAATAGCATAACTAATAGTGTAATATCTCAAGCTGTCGAGTTTAATAGTCAACATTGTCTTGGTTGGTCTTATCAGCCTGGGACACCCGGTGAGAATATTGATTTCTGGTAATTTTAACCATCATCTGCCATCATGATGGGTAATTGTCAGATTTTTACCAGTCAGAGCTCATTTGAAATCGTTAAACCAACGGCGCTGCTTAGAGTCACAGTTGATATTTTCTTTCCCTTAACCTACACAATATTTGAGACAGAGAAGGAAGTAAGAAAAGAAAAATATTTCCAACGCATTTTCTTTAGTTCTTGCCAGATACAGTTTATAGGAGGCTTTTGGTTGAGATTATACAACTGTATTTTCATCTAAAGAAGAGATTATTATTGTTATTTTTGTGATTGTTATTATACAAAGTGGTTTATAGGTTCAGGGGAAATAAGCATATGAAACTCTCCTATGCAAAGTACAGTATACTTTGGTACTAATTTCTTGAACCGTGATATATTTTCCTTCTAATTTGAAGTAGTGTTCTGATGTAGAAAGGGGTTATAACTGTTTTCTTTGTTAAATATACAGGTTCGGATGGATTACTTTAAAAAATGGCGCGGTACAATATGATATGCACAAACTTATATGGTGATATTGATAGTAGTAACCTGATTCTGTTGCACTAGAATGCTATAACATCGACACTCTAGATATAGCGAATTGGCGCTGAAGAATACACAGCGACGAATTAAAAATGTACTACAACAATTAAACGAAATCATGTCGGCATTTGTGCCTGTATTTTCTAAAATCAAAATGTTTCAGCGCATTTCGTCTAGCTTTCCTGTTGTCAAACTGGCAAGAAGGAACATGCGGTTCTAATAGATCCTCCGAGGATTCCCTCGGAGCGATGTTTAAACTTCTAATTATGATTCATTTGTGTGATAATATTAATTTAATAATCAAGGGGCTGTGCGGAGAGCATTAACCTCAATTAAGCTCATTACTGCCCGAACCTGTTTCCCCTGGGTGCTTAAATCTTCCATTGTAAGTACCTGACGCAGCTGGAAGCGAGTGATCTCTGAAATAATCTTTCGAAAATTAGGCTTTTCTGATCGGTTGATGTGTGTTTTACTTGGTATCAATGCAAACCAAGATTGGAATTAAAGATCGACAACATTTGTAAGTACTTTGTTAAAATAAAACAACGGTAGCGGTTTTGTCAGTTACTATCTTTACAAAATGTTTCCCGAAACTGGGAAAAAGATTAACCCTTTCGTTTTCTTTTAGCCACAAAATTCCTCGCGCTTCCTTTCAGGAAATAACATGCAAAATCACCTGCTGACACCATCCCGCCCTCCTAACACAAACTTACTACAATAACTTCAATATTTAAGAACATTAGAGTTAAAACTATATTCTTGTATCATTTTTAATGGACAATATTCTCCGACTTCATCAATGTCATTCTCAACAACAACAATAATACACAGTACTGTTGTTTCTCGACTATTTTGTCGGCTCTTGTTTTACAGATGGCAACACTTCATAATGAAAACTTACGCACCTCCTAAGAAAACTTCAGAACACCGTAACATTGTTTTAGCCTCCTTTTTATTACAGTATGTAAATTAAATAACCCAGTGATTTAAAAGCAAAAGTCATTAAAATTAAAAACAGGTTTTAAGACACGAGAACGTCTTCTAAAACAGAAACTCCAACTCTCATTTTACAAGTTTTACTTTAAGTTAAAACCATTCATCACAGTCGGAAGACAGCGGTGTTAGTGTTCATCGGTATTTCTAAAACTTTAATGCATGGTGCTTTAAGATATTAAATTAATTAATTGTTAGGTTTTTATTAGTGTCATAGTTTAAAAGTCTGTTTTCTTCAAACTGAGGTGAAATGTTAAGGGCAAGAGATTCCACGATAATATAAATAGGCTATAGTATCTGTACAGTACCTGTAGGAAATTGAACGAAAAAATATTTATATATTAGGGTAATTAACTGTACATCGGAAAAATATACAAGTCTTGCTTTTTAGTCATTTATACAAAATACTCCATTAAGATAACAGCACTATTCTCAGAGCAACTTTTAACGTCAAATAATGAAAACGAACATGAAAGGATTTTAATCCACCCTTGCTAGATATTGGTTTCTACACACAAGGTGTGTCTGAAGTTCCATGTAGTACAATGTAGTTGGGAAAACTGATTTGACTCTTAAATGCTACTAATTCTTCGTGGTAACACAGAAGCTGTTGTCTGATGATTGAATTGTCTGGTTTGGGTGATTAAAGCTCGACTGATTGCCGTGTTACCGATTGTAATTTGCAGGAAATGAGAGGGTGGTCTCAGTCACGTCTCTGAAGTTTAGTGACAGTGACAGACACGAGCGGCTTCTGCCTCTGTCTGTGTGGGGAATGAGTAGGGAAAAGGTTTTGAACGATGTCATTTACATGCAAATGACCGTGTCCCCTCTTTAACAAATAAATCAGGAAATTGGACACTGGATGTGACCAACCCACTTTAAAACTGGCAAGGTGGACCTAATTATAACCCTAACAGCAGATGGTTCGCTTACCCAACGCAGCTGACAAGGAGCTGTGTGATTTCTTCTTTGGACAGGAGTTCTGGAGTTCTGTGAACACTTAAAGCCAATAGGGAAAAATAAATTATCAGTCTATTGGTTGTAGCTGGAAAAAAAATAAACAAAATAGAAAAGTTGTTGTCGTTTTAAGAATCCAGCACGTCTGTTCCGGGTCTTTAAGAAGTAGACTACAGTAGACACAATACTTGAAGTAACGGCACAGGTGAAGAGTGTAAACTGAACGACGCTTCGGGTTTACAGCGTGCATCGCTTCCTAATGGATGCAACATTAAGATGTTCTTTAAAGTAGAACTGACTTTAAAATTGGTCATCTGTTCTGGTTGAAAATATATATTGCATGTCAGAACTGATCTAGTACTTCGAATGATCAGGTGTAGCATCGAAAGCCCCAGTAACTAGAACTGGCAGGGAAGCCGAGGAACCAACCGATGAAGGCATTATGACCAATCAGCTCTGATTAGGGCTAGCGAAACAGCTCTATCAAGTTATGAATGAATGCCTATTATCATTATTTATTATTATTGTTGTTGTTGTTGCTGTTGCTGTTAGTTTTACTATTATAAGTGGAATTAGCGGAGTCCTAAAAATAGAATACTCTATTTGAATAGATTATTATTGAGAAAATTAAGTATCCCTAGTCTGTTTTTTTTTAATTGATAATCGTCTGCGGTCGGAGAAACTTAATCCTTTGTTTTTATAATACTACCTCCGACAACTTAATCTCCGTAACTATATGTTTTATTAAAAGCGCAAATATGGCCATCTTGCTTAATCGTAAAACAAATTTTGATTAGGTAGTAGATACACAATGATAATTTTCATATAGTTGCAATATAACCTCTTGCTTCATTGGAGTATTGTGTATTAATCATTGTTGGAAATTATAGAAAAGTGTCTAATTTCACCATATTTTTTTCCTATTCCCAGCACTTCATAAGCAATTATAGCTATATTTGATTATCTACAATGTACAAACATTTAAAAAATGTAAAAGAAAGCCTATTAAAGCCATTGTAAGAAAGGACACTGAAAGAGTCTGATTAAAATCTAATAGCTATTACATTGCAGATTGTAAGCTGCTGCTGGTGTCGGGTTCTGAATGCAAAGCTGTAGACTGACTCCCCTGGGCTCGGCCCTCTGATGGGCTAATCATGTTCTCCCCTACCAAAATTACAGTTGATTGTTCTACCCATTATTTTTCCCAACTTTTAATTTCTGCTTTCCAAAGGATCATTGCCCGCGGTAATTGCAAAGGACCTGTCCTTGTATGTGTCACCAGCCTTCTAGAAAAAAAAATCTAAATTTGCTAGACTTTACTTCCCAGTTTTACTTTTTGGCACTCAACTGACAAAAAGGAGTCTGCTTGGCACCCCCTGTGTAAAATAAATGACAATAGAAAAGCCTTAGAAAATAAGAAAACAAAAGAATTATACATTTTGTGAATACAATTAGATTCATAATGTAATTGCTTCTCCAGAATAAAATAGCTGTCTTAATTAAGAAATCGATATTTCACTGAAAGGGTATTAAGGTGTTTATCACATCATTATTTCAATAAATAATTGAGATTTTCTGTATGGTTAAGATTTAAGGTGACTCTTGCCAAGGAAACTTTAGGGGTATAATGTAGAATACTGTTTGTATTTTAATATAAAATATATAATACATTGAACTTATGTGATGGTTTGAAGTGTGTTGAAGAAAGTGTGATATAATGCAATTGTTCCTAATCAAATGCTTGAATCATATTACTTATTAAGTTGCGGGTGAAACCTGATTAAAGCTGATAATGTGACCGACGCATCTACTTTCAAATTAAATATTACTGTTAAAATGCTTTAAAGAGACAACTATAGAGCGGTTTAATTTCGCTCTAAAGGAAGAAAAAAAATAATCGTATGCCTGCGACCGTGTTGTGCAATATTACGTGCTTGTAATTATTTAAAGAAACTATCATTATCATCGCACACACCAACACGCCCAGAGACATCCAAAAAAATCAGCCTATTTAGATGCTTTCCAGTTGAGTGGAGGTGTGCTGAAACAGAGCTGACAGCTAAGTATATCACAAGCAACATCATTCTTCACTCTTCTCTCGCCTCTGCTCTCCCTCTCTAGCTCTTGGACGGAGATTACAGGCTATTAGAGGCACGGGATTAATTTGTAGCCAATTACAATCCACAGCTGAATATGAATGCGTAAATAAGGTGCAGTCGGCGCGCGTGTGTTTGCGAGAGGGAGGGGGCGACATAAACTGCGGAGGGTCCTGAGGGGACGGTTAAAAACCAAAAAAGGAACAGAGCGGGGGAGACCAGCATCCTATAGTGGACCACCACCTTCTGACTTCATTGTGGAATCCTGTGACCAGTAGGCTGCTTCTAGGGGTTTTAAGGTACATACAGAAGCGATAGCGCTCTTTCATTTTAAATAGGATCCTTTGCCTCTGAAATTATTTTTTTGTTTCAAAAGTTGTGCTCGTGCAGTTGAAAGGGACCTAGTGCTCGCTCCTTTCCGGGAGCCATGAATGTGAGTAGGGACAAGGTTCAGGTGGGTGACATCTCTATTGCTCCAGCAGCGCCTGCTGTGGCAGCCCCGGCAGCGGTGACCGCTTCAGACACGCTGCCGTGCAGCATTCACGCAGAGAGCATGGACAGTCACGGCGATCAGAGGCTCCCCAGCAACGAGCTGCCGGTTTTCTCCTGCCCTGGCAGCAGAGAGAGGCAGCAGGCGGACAATCAAGGCAATTCGCCCGGGCAAGAGGTGGCCGTGGTGGCACCCCCCACAGTTCACAGGACCACCTCTTTTTCGGTTCTTGACATTTTGGACCCCAACAAATTTACCAGCAAAAAGCGACACTCTACTACCACCCTCTACAGAAACAGCAGTGACTTCTCTCTCGGGGCAGAGAACAGAGGTGGCGAAGATCCCGCACTTGCAGACCACAAATCGCACTCTGAAGATTACGACAAGTGCAAAAAATCGACAGATTTAATCAGTGAGTATGTCATACATTATGTTTTTTTAATTGTTAAAGATACGTGACTTTAGAGTTAGACGTCAGACGGCAGTGTCTAAACTTTGCGTTTGAACTCTTAAAAGTTAACATAATATTAAATAAGCCTGGCATTACAATTATTATACGTAAAATTCAAAATGCAGTCTTTCACAATTGCTTGAACACACGTACATACTGTATATGGCCTGTGTTTATGTATAGACTGAAGATTTTTATAACCACCCAAAGTTAGTGAAGTGAAGCCTTACTGACTGATCACAGGTGCATCCAAGGGGATAAAGAAATAGTAAACTTTGTTTACGGCATACACTGTGACAAAATCGCGCCACAGAAGAATTACACCTATTTATGAGTTAAGGTATAAATGAAACAATCTTTGTTGAATCGATAAAACAAATTTGAAAAATCTGATACACTCCATTTCTAGAAAACAAAAGCAAGTGGAAGAGGAACTCGTATTCTTAACTTACTACGTTAGTTGCACAATCAAAAACAGACTCATGGATAATACAAATGTCTATTTTAGGCCTAAGAACCTTTGACCGTTTCCAAATAGTACAGTACATAATTGTTTTAAGGTTAATTTACGGTTTTGTGTGCAATTGATGCTCAAATGCACTTTTTCATCAATTTGAAATTTGAAATTTTAAAAAACTTGGTTTTTTTTGCGAGTAGTGTTATGGTTCAGGTCGGAAAAGTGCAGGATAGCCGAATGGTAAAGTTAGAATAGTCTTGCAATAGGCCTACTTATTTATTAATCCTGTTTGAAGTTGTTTGGTTATCATTGGAACACCGCAATCTCACAGACATCTCTCCAGCTGGTTTGTTGTATTGCTCTAGGCGACAGATTCAATTTTCTTCCTGTCCCCGGGCCTTTTTTAGGACGAATCAGACTAATTGTGACAAAACGCTGGTTATCTCTAGAAAAACAATTAAATTTCTTCGATTACATTTAAGGTAAAATGTGCTTAGCAGCGTTAAAGAGGCTGGATAATGGGGAAAATCGCCCCAGAGTGGCATGTAGGACTGGCCTGGTCGATATTCTATTATCGAATTGTGCATATCTCTTTCAGGCAGCTTGCAAACTCCTCTCCAACATCTAAATTATAGGGTCAAAATTCGGATAATTACTCGATTAAAACCTATTACACTTATTAAGGGATGCTATTGATCGTGGATTGCCTTCGACCCAAAGAACCTGCTCTTGGCCGTATCAAAATTTAAGACGAGGCCTACGGTGCGGGTCCTGCAATAGTAAATAGTACAATCGTTACAAATTTACACCAACAAAATCGAATATGTATAATCCATCATGATCATAATTTATATTTAATATGTAAACTCGCATTCAACATCACAAACCGTAAAACAACTTCGAAACTGAAGTGAGGTACTTCATGTCTCTTTGGCGCCAGAACTATAGGCTAAATGTAACCCTAAATTGATCTCGACTGGCAATTTCAGAGCAACCTCTTTAAAGAGTAAACCTGCCTCAGAAAACTAAGCAATAGAGGAAAAGAAACAACCGTCGGAAAATTTAAGTAACTTATTATAAAATGTTTTACATTTTTAAACAATTAAAATACACAAAGGCGCGTAGATTAACGAAGCATGTGAACACCGCTTTTTGATTTAAATACTCAATAAATATTGAAATAATGCTTGAAAATAATTTTAATTTTAATTGTTTACTATTGCTCTAAATGCTCAGTTAATCAATTTAAATATTCTAGTGATGTATGAAAGCTAAAGGCTACTTTTTAATAAATAAACGAATGTTAATACTGCTTTTCCAGATAAAAACTACCTTAGAACTTTTGGGTTTGTCCCCCATTTAAATTCAAACGATCTTTTATTTTTTGTTGGATTTCCCGTTAATCGGTATATAATATGATCCATTATGAATTAAATTATCGTTAATTAGTTTCCGTATTAGACAAACAGGGTTTAATTGGTTTGCCACATTTCTTCCAATTAATAGAAACTGATTAGAACATATTTATAACCATTATAAATTAAAAATGAAATTGGGAAAACGAAGCAAAAGCATATTGCGAATTAAGTTTAGATTATATTACAATCATCACTAAGTAACAGTTAATATGTGCGAGTCTCTCTCCAACTCCAGTGCTGAATTTGTTCCTGCTCACTGTGCATGTTTATTAAAAAGAACTTTTCAAACAGGAAAATAATATTCTAAAGAAACAGGGTTTGAAAATTATGTCCCGAAACGTAAGAATAAACATACAATTTAAATTAGTCTTTTCTAAAATACAGAAAACACGTTTCGTTATCCGTGGCGCTTATTAGTGCAGTATTTCGTGAACTATAGTTTGTGTAAAGTTTTACTTGCTCACATTTTGTTTTGACGTTTAAATTCACTGTAAATGTTAAATCCCGTTTCCCTTTCTATTTTCAGAAGATGGGGTATTGTATAAGTCCGATGAAGGTGAAAATGATTTTAGCCGGAGCACTCACACTCCAGAGAGTGAAATTCAAGACGAGGAGTTGTGTAGCGAGGAGAGTAGTAGCGCTCTGCCTAGTAATGTGGACTCGGAGCTTGTCCACCATGAAGAGGAGGACTCGGTTACGCGGAGCTCGAGCCCAGGTGTCCAGCAAACACAACAAGCAGGACAGAACGGCCAGAGCCAACAGTCCAAGCCCAAAAGAAAGCGCACTGGTTCGGACTCCAAGTCGGGAAAACCCCGGCGGGCCCGGACAGCCTTCACCTACGAACAGCTAGTAGCACTGGAGAACAAATTTAAGTCCACTCGATACCTGTCTGTGTGCGAGAGGCTCAACCTAGCTCTCTCTCTCAGTTTGACAGAGACCCAAGTAAAAATCTGGTTCCAGAACCGCCGGACGAAGTGGAAGAAACAGAATCCCGGTGCAGATACAAGCGCCCCAACGGGTGGCAACGGTGGGGGACCAAACGGGCCGGGCAACGGCTTAAATGGAGGATTGAGTCCATTGAGCCCTTCTCCCCCGATGGGTGGCCCACTTTCAATGCACACAAGTTACCCAGGTCACACACCAAGCGGGCTGGTCTGTACCGCCCAGTTGCCCTTTCTGCCGAGTCACGCAGTCCTGTCCCCTTTCGTTTTAGGATCACAGACTTACGGGGCTCCGGCGTTTTATACCCCGCACTTGTAAATAAATACTGAAGGAAATGACTTGTATGCATTTACATGACATACAAAGCCGAACCTGTGTGATACAAAAAAAGTTGTTAAATGCAGTTTAATACAATGCATCCTATGACTTAAAGGAGAAGAACAAGACAAGCTGTGATAAAGAGATTCTGGATCTTAAAAAAGTTGAGCAATAGCAACTTTAAAGACTGCTGAATGCATCAAATGCTACAAGGAAGGAAATGACTAATTTTGTGTCGTCTTCTTCCAAGCATATCTTTTTTTAAGGACACTTAAAATTTATACGACGAATTCGTCCTGCAGTCCGTATGGACAATTACTTTTATGCCGTCAAGTGGGGATTCTTTTTGATTACAATGTAAAACATTAAAATGTCTCTGGGCCACGTGTGTACAGTAAATGTAAATGGTAAACGAGTATGTAAACGTTTAGCCTCATCTATTAAACGCAGTTTTGTAAAGACCAGATCAACTAAATGGATTAAAACATACCGATCAAGTCATTAAATTATTTAAAAAGTGTTTTTATATCATTACATACCTGGAATGGCTTGTAATACTTTATATAAGTAGATATAAATAATTGTTTAAATAAAATGTAAAATGTTTGTCTGACACTTGTAAAGAATGTTTTTAATGTACCCACTTATTCTCAGGGTAGCTTTATTAAAAACTGGCTGTTCAATACTTCTGTTGCGTTAAAAAAGACTAAAAGAGGAAAGCTAAAAACAGAATAAAGCATTATACGAAAATATTTTTGAGTTATTTTCGTGATTGATAAGTCTGTAAAAGAAAGTAGAAAATTGTTTCTCTGCATTCTTCAGATGCACTGTATATTTCTAATTATATACTTAAAATTTAGTTTTATTGTAGACAAAAAGTGATGCTCTTTATTAATATGAATATTGGAACTTTAAACTTGCGGCCAAACAAAGAAAATCAATAAACTTCTTAAATATGTTGTAAGCGGCGGCTTTATTATTGCCATTTATTTGGGTTTTAAATGCTGAATGTTTACAATATTTTTCAATGTACATTTTGTTTTCGGTACTTTTAATTCCCATTTTTACAAAAATGTCACTTTATTTTTTATTATTCGTGGGGATTCTGCCGTTACAGAAATGAATATAGTTATATGGTTCAAAGGTGTCTAAAGGTTATGTCCCTTACTCACAAGTAGGAATAGAGATTTTCAACGTTCATCATTTTTGTACCGCGCTGTTACCTATGCTTTAAACAAACACGATATGTGCTTGAATGCAAAATTCGTGTTAATATATAAAGCACTGGAAATTTGGGGAATTCAACTGATACGACTTGATGCTACATTTAAGAGAGAAACTGTATAAATGAGCACAAAAAAACCTATACAGTACGTTGGTGTGAACGGATAGTATACTTAGGTAATTAACGGGTTAAATAATTTCACGGAGTTACGGAATATGTGAAATGAAATATCAGAAGTATTAAAGTCAGTTAGGGTTTTATTTAATATGACTTGACTGCGTGAATGTATTCTGGAGCCTGTACTATTGCCAATACAATTTGCCGTAGTCAAACATCCCTGTGACAGCATTAAATGATATCTTTCTAATCCTATTAGTTTCTCCCTCTTGTTTGCTTCCGTGAGTGAGCATTTTTGACAACCTTTTACTGCGAGTAATGACACTTGAAGCGTGGAGATGTTATAATTTTTGACAGAGAAATTACATCTCTTCACAGACGCTGATATCCTGAAATGTAAATAGACTTGGGACAAGCGAAGAAGTTATTACGCTGTGAATTCCAAGATGCGTCTAAACGCAAACAGGGAATGAGGGTTTTGAAATACCACTAGGGGGAGTATGTTGAAAACAGTCAAGGGAAAATACTGTAATAAAAAATATGGAGCATGTGTTTTTGGTGATCATGCTTTTGGTCCTAGGCTTTTTGTGAATATTTTAATTCATGTGAAGTGTTAAAAGAAATGTACACATGCCGAAGACGTTTCATAGCAGTTTGGCTGTTTACATATATCATATAAAATAACATTTGTGATCTACTGTTAAACGACTATCAAATCTTAACAGATTTCTCGAGTTTTAATACAGGCTCAAAATAAAAGTAGTCATTTTCGTAAATGTAGAAATTTTAATACCTTTCAGTTTCTTCAGCGTATTCAGAACATGTATCAACTTTTACCTATGCATACTATAGCGAGCTACAGTATATTCAGATGATTAAATTACATCTTAAGTCTCTTTTCTTTTATTTATTGAATAATATTCGCTATATAAATGATAAACAATGTCAGTCCTATTTGTAAGTAAAAAAACTGTCATGCATTCTGCTCTTAAATGAAGATTTATGTGGCGAACCCAAAACCTGCTAGTAGAGCTATCAGGGCAAACAGTGTTGTCAATTGAAATCATTCACAATGTATATATTACAAATGAGAAAACACAAAGCCTTTAACCCGTAAACAAATCTAGTATTCAAATGTAGTACAGCCAGACACATTACTTCATTTTCGAACTAATAATCAGAATACTTAACGTAATTAATTTCACCTTGACGTCTTATCATTAAAAATAGTAGATCTTGATTACCGTTTTATTATTGAATTCACATCTCGTCTTTGTCCTCACATCAGCTAGAAAGTTTGTAAAAAATCGGGGTGTATTTTTATTTTCACAGACCAAAAGTTTTTATATATACAAACACTGCACTTAATAAGGAACTTGCTGCTATTTTGATTATCTCAAAATTTACAATATTGTATAAGCACTTAGTTTTTAAAAATAGTTTTTGTTAAAAATAATGTTACTGTTTATTTTTGTTGTCTATATTCTGTTTTTCTCTTTAGCTGGTCCTCTTTAGGCAGCAGACTTATTAATAAAAGTAGCTACACGTTGCATATTACGGAATATAAATTGCGGATAGTGGGTAGTAGGTAATGCCTCGATTACAGGGTAATATTTTGCTGGCTATAATAAACAGTTTTAGTTATGTAACTATATGCGTTTGACTCTTTGATCCAAGTTTACGGTTTACTTAGAATGGGATTTTGAGCCGTGTGGAAAACAAAAGCCATCAAGAAACTAAAGCCTAATTTTAAGGTATTCGTCAAAGGTTCGTATCGTGAAATGAGTGAATATATAAACCAAATTCTAGAATATATGTATATAAAGTAAGCACCTCATTTGATAAAAAAAACATCGAAGCTTCAAAGACGTGGTAAAGTCAAACGTTTTTTACAGTCGCTCGGAAATAATTACTGCTAAAGCAACAAATTACATACTTAAAAAAAAACACTTAATCATAGTGAAGTCTTCCATTTAAAGCAAAAGCAGCATTCATGTAACTTAAGGAAAAACGTAAACATTTTATACAAACTATCGCTTTATGATAGACCTTGAAATTATGTTGGTAGTGATTAAAGAATGAAAGCAGGTGGTAGCATTTTACAATAACTTAATATAGGAATATAGAAAAACTCCTCGCCTGACAAGATGATTTAAACAAGGAACTGGACTGAGAGGAAAGACTTCCCATCATTTACACCAATTCTTGTTCATGTTCTTGCATTCACTCAGGCTTTCAGAACAGCAGACCTGCTTCATGTTGAAGGAAATCTCTAGAAATAGGGCATATACAGGACAATAAACAATTGAAACTGGAGCCCAAGGCTTTGCACAAACACTTTGAGGGAATAGCTGGAAATCATTTTTTTTCCTATCAAATAGCTGATTGAAAACAATTAGTCCGGTTTAGTACCCACACAACCAGGTATGAGTGTGACTAGCTGGAAATGGTAATTAAAAATACCCATAACAAGAATTGCACAGCCTTACATTACTTTTACTGTTTATAATTTTATATTGAAACCACACTATAATTAAAATAATGCAAGCTGACCTGTCCAGCCAGACATTGTAGTACTATTGCCAAGATCATACCAACACAGAGGCTGAATGTCAAGATTTGAATGGGATCACGGGGTCAGTTATTTTACTTGCGTTCAAATCAAGTTACCGCTTTGTAAGTCTGATTGGTGGCAAGCTTGGTTTCCTCACTTTGTACTGTACATCTGAGATGTGCTGTGCCAACCTGGCACAGGAAGAAGTACCAAGAGGTCAGACCTGCTCAAAGAGACTCGTCTCCTTTTGGGTTTCATAATAGTCACCCTCCCCAGCCTATGACTTGCAAACTGTTACTTTTGGACATAATATTTTAATGCCTGATTCAATTAGGTAATTAAGAAGTGGAATGAGAACAAGAGGACTATCAGGAGCAGCAGTTAGCAGCTCAGTCTTAAGAGTAACAGTCGTCCTTCCTGCTATCAAAAGGAAGCTGTAGGTCACAGCAGCCCGGATCCTATCCTGGAAGTACAGCATATAAGATGGGAAGGAGAACACAATGCTGCTCTCCTCCTGCATGGTCCACCACAGGGCCAAGGAGAACGAGCCAATTTAGGGCCAAGTTAATCCTAACAATGGAGAAACCCAGTGTAATCCCACTTCAAAAACACACGGTTTACACCCTGGGCCCTTCAGCTATGAGGCTGCAGGGTTAAGTGCCATGATATCATACCAGCTCCTTCAGAGTAATGTGACCGACTGGAGATGTGAGATGTACAGTAGGTGCTACTCTCAGTCCTGCTTACATGTACAATTACCATTCAACATGACGAGATTTAAAAAAAACATTTATTGTATCATTCTAAACCCATAGCATGGGCATCGTACAAAAGGGCTGCCATCCAATGTCCTCACAGGTTCAAACAGCGTTGTGCCAGAACATTATGGATAATGTGTAGTTCAACACAGAACAGTCAAAGGGGAGACATTTACTATCTACCACAATAAAGGTATTACAACAATATAAACATGCCTTCTAATAAATATATAATTTAATTGGTACCTTAAAAATGCACTTACTAAAACATGTATTAATTTGTTAGTTATATATAAAGCAAAAGCAACCCAAAGAACACAACAGTCTACTTACATTTTATACCCAAGACAAACTCTTACAAAAATATTAACAATATCCACATTAAAAATGAATAAATAATGCACATTTTCTATTAAATACAACAAAAATGAACTTTGTAATTTTAAATTGTGTTTTTTTCATGATAATTCAATTCATTGTTCATCACTTTAATTACCACAGTATAAATATGAGTACACACAGTGAAAAGGTCTGCCTGAGTCGGTATTATTCATTGTTAGTTCCACCCATGCTGCTACAACCACTTCATAACATTGTGGATAAGGTTCTTCTTTCTGTCGCTGCATGTTAATTCAAGGCGTAGTTAAATTGGTTTGAAAACTTTTCATGCTTCCTTTTGTCGATTCGATTCATTGCTTCTGTCACACGTTTCACTGAGCGTCTGCAAAAGAAATTCAGACAGTGAAGTCCAACATATTACAGGGAAATTCTTTTCATCTTAACAAAAATAAATGGAATTCAGTGTGGAGAGCCCAGTGTAAAGCAATAAATAACCCAGGGTGACCAGCCTTGCTCCAGATTTTTTATTGCTGCAGTATAACAGAACATTTTACCACCTTTTCAGCACCTCCTGATCCTCACTAACACTTGCTGGCTATGAACCTTGCTTCAGTTCTGACTTCTGACCCTGCAGTTTGAAAACTCCAGCTAAAACAAATGCATTTTTTGTGTGTGTGGCTGGCTTGGTTAAACGAATGTTTCTGTCAAATACTGTATCATTCGTTTCATATAACATTACGATTCCAAAATAAAACAAGTTAGCTTTTTAAAACAAATTCTGAAAGCCAGGAAGCAACAATATCAGACACTTTATATTCATGTAATGGGTTCCATGTGTTTGTTAATAGTTTATACATGTATTTACTTCAGAATCTGAAAACATACCCTTCTGTTCACTTTAAGAGAATATACCCAATATATGATTACTAATGTGCTAGAAATCATCATATTTCACCTAAAAAAGCAGTAATGCACTACATTCTGTGTCATTTACAAAACAGGGTAATTTCTATGTACTGGTAATACTAGGGCAGTTTTTTCTTCCTGCAAACTGTGATGACAGTGGTACATGTTAGCGATTTCCAGCAGTCTAGTACTGTATTAATCTTTTTTTTTATCTTCCGCTAAAATGTGCCAATAACGATAAGTCACCCGAGGGTGTGGGGTTCTTAAAAATTGCTGCTAGGTTCTGTGGTTAGCCTTGCTGCACTGATTCTAGACAAGCAAGGAGCTGAAAAAATGCCTGCCAGGAAAATTCCTGAATTAAATAAAAATTGCACAGTTTTAAGTACAAGTGCTTGAACATGGATTTTCCCTGCAGCAACTACACAGAAGAGTAAAAAAAAAAAATCAATACTGTAAGATACATAGCAGCTCGAAAAGGACCAGGAGTTGATGAAATCCTTGCTGGCACAGAGGAGCGGTAAGCGGAATCCCCCGAGCTGCAGGGCTGTTAAATTAAGAAAAGCACAGGTGCCACTGCAGTTCAAGTACAGTGTAAATTGTGAAGAACAAGGCCAGGCTTCTGTCCTGCCCCTGTGTCCTAGTATACTGCCCGAGCTCCAGTACTACCAAGCCGCCTCTTGCTGTGAATAAACTGTGGTCACACTTGCACTTTTTTCTGGCCTTCACCAATGCTTTAGTGCCTGAAATCGCACAGCTTTATGACCTGTAAATATAAAGTTAATTTCTGTGGTTTGAAGGGAAGAAGGTTTTTGCCATCTTTAATATGCTGTCATTCCCTCCCCCCTCCCCTCCACAGACAACTCGTTACATCGGTTTTTGACAACGCATTTCTGGGTGCATTGAAGGGACACGGCTATCTTGGAATGTGAGTGTTGTTCAATGTTGCAAAGTGCAAAGACATTCAAAATGTATGTGTATGCTGACATTTACAAACACCTGCTGGAGCCATGACGTGTGCACTATTCTTCTCTTTATGAACACACACGTTAATTTTTTTTTATTTCATGATTTGCATTTTCAATTAGTTATCCTGCTTTTTGGGTCTTTTCATTGGGGTTACAATGATTGTATGCCTACTGGAACCTCTCCAGAAAAGAAAACGCACTAATAAATGAAGTAACTTTCACACATGCTGTATTTCACGAAATAAGAATTTCTTTACTAAGGATATGAGATTTTTTTTAAACGAAAGACTTGAAAGAAAGCAGATTCAACTCATGCTAGCATAAATTATTTTCCATGATAGATACACAGTACCAAAAGAAACCTTTCACTTCTAACTAAAAAAATACATAAAGTTATTATGAGGAAAATAAACAAAATTAATAGCAGGTGCACTACAACATTCAAGTTGAACACATCAGGGCAGATCAATGTGAACGTCAAGCTGTATATCTGTGATCCATGGTTTGTAGCAGTTTGCGCAAGCGGTTTTGTAGGATTCTGTCCCATATCTCTTGTAGAACCTGGACAAGCATGTGTCTGTCCTCTGGTGTCTGAGCCATAGGTGCCACATCACTCCAGCTCATCCCACAGAGGTCAATGTGACTGACGTCCGCTGAGCAGGGTATCCACGGCAGAACTGTCACATTGTCATCTCACAGGAAAGCCAGTGTTACAATAGCAACAGGAGGAAGAGCAGTGTCCTATTGGAATGTTGTTATTAAGGTTGTCATTAACCACTATACTGTAAGTGCAATTCTCTGCTAACTAGACACACCAGGACAGAACACCCCACTCGGACCTCAAAATTTGATCTTGGTAAGTTATTTTGACTCCTGAGCTACCAGATCATGTTTTATCACTGACAGATTGTGTTTAACTGCAATGTCTTGCCAGGTTAGAAATGTTTGGGTGTTAACGCCCCAGACGGCGAGTGACGGTGCACTGACTCACCACAGGCCCCAGCATCCTGATGGTACAAAGTAAGTGTTCTCTTAATAAGCGGATCAAATTGGTTTCTTTCTGTGTTCTCCCATCTTAATTTTCAACAGGTTAAATCAAACAATTTTCATAAGCTGTTAGTGTGATGAAATAGTGCTTGCACATTGTGGGGTAATATTATTTAATTAATATATAGCAGGATCTCATTTGTAGCCAGTCTTGTTGAATTCAGTAATCAAGTTTTGTATCTAACTCACACTCTTCAAGAAATGCACCTATTCATGACTTAAAGATGATCACTAAGGCTTAAAAGTGAAAGAGAATTAAAGTGGCAGGAATAGACCCTGAAATCCCTTATTTAAAACTATAATGAGACGGAAATGTCAAGGTAGTATTAATAGCTCTTACGTGTTGAACACTTTTTTCTGTAGCCTAGAGCGAGCTGTGTTGGATTTCTGCTTCAGGTCAGTCAGATTGGGATACTTCTTCTTCTTGCCTTTGCCCTTGGACCCTTTCTTGCCCTTCCCAAAGCTCTTTGAGGAGCCCAGGTCCACACCAGTGGCTGCTTCAATCTCTCTCATCAGTTCCGGGTCTCGCCAGTCTGCCCAGAAGACACAACAGTAAGATGTAACTCCCAGCACTACTAAACTATTTAAGAGCCTTTTTCGAAGCATAGCTGTCAGTGTAAGTAAAAAGGCAATTATAAAAATTTTCTCTTACCAGTGGTATAGCGGTAATAGAGCGTGTCAGGGCAGTGATAATTAAAAAAATATATTTTAACCTTTAGAGACATCTCATTCCAGCGCAAGCTAACTAAAGTGGCTCATCACCATTTTCCTAAAACACTTAAAAGTATACATAAGTACCTAAGTAAATTAAGCCAAATACCGAATTCCATTACTGGTCAGAAGGAGATAAGAGCGCCACACATGATCAAACCCTTTTGTAAAAGATAGATGTATGTTAAAAAATAGTTCGGCACGCCATTTATGCTGTAATGTTGAAGTAACAACATTCAGGTTAACAATGGCTACATAAAAACAGAGAAATATATCATTTTTCAAAACATTTCCTTCAAACTTCAAAAGTGTGATGAAAACACATTGTCGTCTGGCATTTAGCTCTTGGTCACTGCTTACAGGCTGGTCGCTTGCTTGTACCCTTGGAATGATTGTAAAGGTGGGAAACTCGTGTGCAAAATCTGCTCATCTGTGACAGAACTCTGTCTTAAAGACTCAAGGTTTGAGGCTTTCCAATGAATGGCACTCGTTTAGCGTAACCTACAGTGGGCAAAACAGAAGTGGTCGTTTAAAATCACTCAGAAAAAAATTACAGAACACAGTCAACTGCTCCTATCAGAGAGCTTAAATAACCTTTGAAATGTGCCTGAAGAGAATGTAAAAAAGTTTTTGCTTTTCAGCCTTTAAAATCCAGTCTATTTAAAGGCTGTGTACAGCGTTAAGGAGTCCAAAAATGCTGCTCGATATTCACCTTTTGTTAAAAGGACAACCTTTTGTTGTCCGAGTGTTTGTAACATAATCACAAAACAAAATTACCGCTACACCGCTGTCTCTTACCATTTTTATACTGTACATGATCAGAAGAATTACTCATCAAGCACAAGTGTATAGAAGTGATTAAACTACATCAGCTATAAAGTTAAATCTTTGCTCTGTTCTGTACTTTGTTCTTTGGGTCATGATAATAATAATAATAATAATAATTGCTTACACTTATATAGCGCTTTTCTGGACATTCCACTCAAAGCGCTTTACAGGTAATGAGGACGCCCCTCCACCACCACCGATGTGCAGCCCCACCTGGATGATGCGACGGCAGCCATAGTGCACCAGAATGCTCACCACACATCAGCTATCAGTGGGGAGGAGAGCAGAGTAATGTAGCCAATTCATAGAGGGGGATTATTAGGAGGCCATGATTGGTAAGGGCCAATGGGAAATTTGGCCAGGACGCCGGGGTACACCCCTACTTTTTTCGAGAAATGCCCTGGGATTTTTAATGACCATAAATGATATTTAATATTTAATATTTAATGATAAAATAGTTACTCACATAAGTGTCACAAGTGCAGTACTACAACATACTATAGTTTAGTTTCAGAAAGCTTACAAAAATAACATATAAATAATAATATATTAAATAACATTTAAAAAGAAAACTGCTGTGTTAGTTTGGATCAACCACACGTACTGTAGAAGAAAATGTGGTTTGTTGTTGTTAAAACGTCCAGTGGACCACGGGTTTCCTTAACCCAAACCATCTAATTATTGCACACTTTCCTTTCTTTCCTGGACTGTTTTATTTTTTAAACTTGTATTAAGTGTGGGCAGCACTGTTCAACATCAGCACCTCTGTTCATCATGACTGGAATTTACTGGACATGTAAAACTCAATAAATTGTTTTCTTTTCATTCTCTTCTCTTTTTACACTAAGTCAAATTCTTCCCATTTTCAACAACATCAATCAAAAAACAAATGCTAGACTTAAACCATTTCTTAGTTCTAAAACATATTCAAGTGTTCAAATGGTTTAAATCTCAGTTCTCAGTTTAGGATAATTGGAAAGTGGACACATTTGTGTCAGGGGCACACAGAAAAAATCAGACTCCTTGTCTAACTATCCCTTTTAATCTAGGACATGAAATATATCAATGTACAGTCAAACAACCAATGTCCAATGATGCATGATGAAAATGTTTACAGTTTGTTCTTATTTAACCTCAATGTTTCAATGTAGACTATGGTTTGGGTGTGAACAATTATGTACAGAGCAAGATTTATGCCTTTGTTTAGGGTTTGAATTTCTAACAAATGTACATATTCGGTGACACAGGTTCAATAATGTGGAGTGGGTGTCATCTGGGTCTTTAGTTTTCATTGTGGTCAGTTAATGTAGAGAGATTTTTAACTTAGGTCCCTTTAATGCTAGGTCTTGGATTAGGGACATAGAACCTTCAGATAAAAGTTTGGCCGCCATCAGTCCAGCCTTCTGTGGAAAACTTTGCAAAGTATGAAGTTAATCCCTCCAGCTGTCTTCAACACTGTATCTATTCAAGAAGTTGTTTCGGAGTTTATTTATTGCAGGGATAAAATACCAAAGAGGCATGGCTCAGAAAGTGGAACCAGTAATCCCAGATTACGGGAAAAGGTGTTTAAACAGTTTACTTTCTGGTAATAAGAAGGCGTTACACTTTAGAGACTCTTGTGAATGGGGCGATTGTTTGAACAGCATGGGGAAAAATATATATATAAAATATATATCAGTGACCGGTAGAGATGAAATGAGCATTTGAACAAAATGAAGAGGCAATTTAAAAGCCTTTGAGAAAAATCAATAGACTGCTAAGAAAGAGCGGCCTTTTTGAGTGTTGATGGGCCTTTAAAGCTCTTCATACATTGTCACTGACTTTAGCAGCAGTAGAGAGAAAATTGCACAGTTTGGATGGGAAGGAGGGGGGTAGGGATCAATACTTTAGTTAGTAAAAAGATGCTATTTCACATCTGACTGGCCATCAGCCTCCCTGCGTTCACTTGCTCCGATACCTGTTTGTTAACAAGTCACTGAAGGCAGAAAGACCACATCCACCGCACGAATGACACCAAAAAATAGCCACTTAATTTGCTCTTTGTGTGAACTATTGGAAAGGAGACGCAGACCTCAGATTATCAGGGTATTATGTTATTTCATCAGTTCATCATTTCAAGAATACACTTTTTTCTTTTTTCCCTGGTAATAGGAGGTAAATATGTCATTGGGTTAGAGAAGGATCAGAAAGCTGAAAGCATTTCCACTACAGTGTGTTAGATTTCAGTAATATAGATTCATCTTTCATTGGCTTTTCACTATTTTCAATCTGAGGACTGGTGTAGTTCTGCTGTGCTGAAGGACCACACAGCACAGCCAAGGGATGCATACCTGTAAGAGTATCCATCAGAGAAAAGCAGCGGTACTACAGTTTTCCTATAATAACAGCCAACATAGTAAAACTTTTTTACTTTGAATGGCACTTTCACCAGTAGACATTACTAGGTATCAAAGGAACATGTAAACGGTTTATTCCATGCTGAAAAGAAAAGAAAGGAAACACAATGTTTACGCTGTGGAGCCGAATAAACCCGTTACCTGTTCATTTACAGCCTACACATGCTGATGCGGATACTTAACTTGAACTATTAATAGGTATCTCTGTTTTTCAAAATTTCTCAAATAAGAAAAGAAAATTTAAAACAGATTAGTTTAATCTTAACGTTTTTTAACATGTATAACAAAGCTATTTATTATTTTCTGAGTTTCAATTATCATTGCAAACAGAAATTAGATGCACTGACCATAAGTAATAATGCGAAAACACAGTTGTGGTATGTTTTATAAGACACTTCTGAAGATGACCATCGAATTGATGCTTGTGTTTCCAAGTTTAAACTTGGTGTTTCTATAATATTTCACTTTACAAGTATCACCGAATAGTTTGTTTTTAATATTTCTTGTTAACTCTACTATAATGATAAATTTGGATAAAGCATATTAATCATGAATACTTTGGATGATATTTTGTCCTGTCTTAGTTTATCTTTTTGTATAAATCAACAAGGCAATGGAACACAAATTAAAATGTAAGCTTTTTTAGTTTGAATTATTTTCTACTGTGTCATATTTATAACTGCAAATCAATTCACAAACAAGTGAGGAACTCTTCAAATGTCAGCTTCCAGGCTGCCCCCAAAAAGACCAAAGATCACTAAGAGAAATGATAATGGTTATTCATCATAATTACATCACGAACTGTAATCGTTACAATATTTCTGGTAAAACAATAGATTTGGTTAAAACTCAAAGAGAAACAATTTCAACACCTGCATCCCGTGCCTACCCCCTTTACATTTGCATAATTGTTCATTCATTTCTAAAGACTGCAAGCTTAGCAAATGCCCTCATGGGCTTGCTGAAGAGTTGTTGCATGCAGCAAGGATGATGATGTCTTGGAAAAAGGTTCTATCAGACATTATAAACCGCAGACTTTACAGTCTGACTACAGAATCTACCTAATGTCTTCCAGGGATTAAAAAGAAAAAAAACATGCATTACAGAAACCAGACACTGAAAGTCTCAGTTACTAGATTTAGTGTAAGCAGAAATTATTTACTGATTTTTGATTTAGGAACAAATTAATAGAATGAAACAAATTAAAAGGTTTGAATTGATCTCTTAGGGAGAATGGCTTCTACTGCACAGAATGAAAACATCACTCTCTCTCCAGTAGGTTGTCTCTTCTGGATAAGACATGGGTCTTAGGTTTTTGCTATTCTTTATATAGGACTTTGAGTAAGTAAACCAATGAGGAGGGAAGACACTCTTACCACAGACATTGTGGGACAGACTCCTAATGAACCACACATTTCTTCCCAAACTAGAGCAGGCTAATGGCCATGCTCTGTAAGCACCAAAGGAGATTTAGTTTATAGGTCTTTTTCTTTGCAAAATTAAGGGATACAATTTCTAAAATTGTCCAGTTCATACGCTGACTGGCTCATGTGACATCTGCTGTAGTTTCTTGAGGTCATCACCAGCTCTTGTGCCCATCCCCACATGGCAGGAGGGTAGACCATCCCTTTACTAGTGTCTGAATGATCACAGACCTGGTGACACTGCTCTGCTGCCATCTGCTGGGTGAGCATCTCCGTTGACTATGTGCTATAACTCTGATGGGAGGAAAATGCAAAGGCATCTCCAGAATCTCTCGTGAAAATCCTCCATCCATCCAGCAATGGCATCGCAGATAGTTTAGCTGTTGTATTAGTGACACTCATGTTTCCACATATGCTGACATGCTCATTAGAGATGCTGTAGAACAACATTAATCTTTTTAAAGCACGGTAGTGATAGAATGGAGGAAAGGAAAAGGAGCAGCTAGTCCATACTGTACCAACCTATCCAACCTGCAGTGGAGGTGCAATCAACTGCTTAAGCTTAATTACACAGCTGATCTTACCACCCATTCAAAATTAAACAAACGAGCAGAGCCAACATCCTGGTCCTGGTGATCCTGGTGACACACCTGTTGGTTTTGTGTTCCAGCTGAACCTTAAATTACACATTGAAATTCTTAATTGACATAATAATAATGATAATAATAATAATAATAATAATAATAATAATAATAATAATAATAATAATTAAAAAAATAATTAGGGAACTATTTGTTCTCACCTCTTAAACATGTTTTGCATAAAATCTCAAACTTGTGACCACACAAAGAAAATGCAAATATTAAATTGATGCAACTTCTTAGACCAAGTAAGGCTTCCATTGTCTAATGAACTCGGGATGGAATGAAAACCAGCAGGTGTCTGAGTCTCCAGGACCCGGACTGGGAAACACTGCTGTAAAGGCATGACCTGAAGAGACATCTGAGCCCAGCACTGTCCTTAGAGTTTCCCGAGTCAGTTCTTTCAGATTGAGGACGGTCTGGGCCTCACCTGGCTGCTCTTCCTGTTGTTTTCTCTTCTCTCTCTCCAGACGGGCCACATCCTCTGGGTTGATGGGATTGCCCAGCTCGTCTCTTGGGATAATCACCCCATGGAACGGACACTGTCCAAATTGTTTATTTTATGTGTAAAGAAAATAACACAACTTTTAATCTGAGTTTACAGTGCCTTGCAAACTTTTCCACTACTTTCCAATGATGTCCTCTTTTTGTTTAATTACAAATGATTTATATTTAAAATGGTTAATATTTTTCATCGGAACTAGAATGTTCAGACTGAAACCTTGTTAAGGTAAAGCAAAGGAAAAGAAATGTTGGTATTGACTTTAAAAAGTGCGTATACACCTTTTGTGATTCAACAAGATGGGAGAACATTGGAAGAGGATGAAGATTTTTGTAAGGCACTGTGTTCCCATCATTTACAACAAAAACAAATAATAATAATAATAATAATAATAATAATAATAGATCAAAATATCTGTAAATATGCCCATACTAAGTCTGTATCTGTTAATCCAACCAGAAATATCTGTATTTTCCAACTCCAAAAAAGCATTCTTACAAATGTCTGTTACTCCCCAAAATAATACAGAATGACATATCCAGCTGGTAACAGAAATAACTATAATCCAGAAAGCAATTTCAACAGTGACACCAACCTTGACTCTGTCCTGGCGTTCACAAAGTGTGCCATTGGGCATTGGCGCTCGGCACTTGTGCTCGACTGGCACATACTTCCCAGGAAAGGTGATGTATCTGGACTTCATCAAGGCCGACAACTCCTCGTTCTCCACTTCTTCTTCCACCTCATGGGGCACCCAGAATTGATGCTGGGAGCTGAACCTGGAGGACACGGATATTCATGAATGCATGGAGATCTGCCATTTTTTAATTAATTCAGTTATGTACAGTAGAGAAAACTTTATATTTCCACTTGTTTTCCTGGTTTTGGTTCTGGATACAACTCTCTGCTTTCCAAGGCATCTTGGGCCAAAGTAGCTCACCGTATGTCGCTGTGGCTTCTGATGAACTGAAGATTCTTCACAGAATAAAAGTGAATGTTCTTAAGCCACTGCCTGTCATATACAGTACACTATCCATCCATTTTCTAACTGGTATTTGTATAGAAAATAAAAAAATGCTTTAAGCTCCAATTGCTTTCTTTTAATATTGTATTACATAAAATCAAAAACATTATGCTCACTTGCATATGTAAAAACATTCAAATAAATATCTAAATATTCTATGCTTTATGTAAGACAAACATGCATAAAAATATAAATTTGCATATATACTCACAAACAATAATGGTAAATTGTAACTGCTTTTTTCTATTGGCATTGTATATCATGCAGCCATATGTACAAGCATAAACATACAAATCTAGATGACATTTATTCGTAATGTTAGTTTAATTGTAAGTGGGGTGCATTCGGTTCAACACCAAAGCCTTTGACGAAGCAGCGGTGCAGCTCTGAATGTATTTTTACACAGTAAATGACACCCTCTTGTGGTTAGCAGCACTGTGTAGACTTGAGAAAGCCAGGTTTCACGTTCACACACTCCTGCTGCTAAAATATACTTATCAGAATCCGAGCTCTGTTCTGGAAGTTAATATTAATTGTTTCTGCAGGAATCTCCTTTTTTTCCCTCTACCTTAGCTCTCTACCCACTCCCAGGCAGATTCTACAATTCTAACACCAGTCTGAAAACGTCTTCACGGTGTAGCCCCATCGTCTTTGTCAAGAGCTGCTGGTCCTTCATGCTTTCTTTTACTCTCTTAGGTTTTCTGGGCAGGGCTTATTAGTCATCCCATCGACCAAATGCAAATTGCTTGGTAATCGAGCTTTTACTGTCTGCGCTCTAAAGCCTTAGAACTCTCTCTCACAACATTAGCTCCTTCTCTTACAATTCTTACATCTAAATGAAAAACCTTCCCTTCTAAAGAGCTTTTAATGTATTTTTATGGCGGATGTCTGTAGTCTTTTTTTTTCACCATTTTGCTCAATTGTGGCGACCGGGTTTAATTCAGATCAAGAGTTGCGCTGATCCTCCCTTGAATAAAAGGAAAAAACTCTTGTGAGGTTCAAGGCAGCTAAATCCACTGCCAAATGACAGAAAAGACAGCAGAACAACCCAGGCAACCGAAGCAAAGAAGAATTTCCTAGAGGAAAATGAACTTACAAAAGTACTATCAAGAACATTCAGTATGAAATGATATAATGCTCAAATCTACAGGAAGCAGCAACGGAACAGTACTTGAGTATTTTTCCAGCAGTGGGCTGGTCCTGGCCCCAGTAGTATAGGTCCAAGCCGAATGGCATTACAGGGGCTCTTGCTTTCTCCTCCTGCTCTGTCCCTGTCTCGCCTCGGGGCTCCAGTGTGCTCGCTGCTGACTCCGAGCTTTCAGGCATGCTGCAGAGAGATTATAAAAAATCAATAGAGGATAACATGGAGCACAATTGCTGTTCTAGTTTCATTAACCTCTTGCACACGAACACTCACATTGGCTTGGATCCTCTGTGACTTACACTGCTATTAGAAATTAGAATCCACCGCCGAGTAAAATGAAATGAAGTACCTCGTTCGGGAGATTGCTCCGTAATTGCACAATGCTACAAGAGGTCAGCGCTGAGTAGTAAGCAAATATTAGACGAAGGGATCAGGCTTTTTTTTTTAAACGTTATAAGCTACAGTTTTCAATAAGAGGTGACACTTGTGAGGTAACTGTGAAAAGACATTTCAGAAGCACACTTACCCAAATAATCTTTAAACGGTCACTAATTTATAAGTAATTAAAATATTTTTGGATTTATTCTTTGTACACCCAAATATAGTGTTTAGAATATATATAATAATATATTACATAAAAAGTTTTAGTAATAGCCGAAATGATAACAGTGATAGCATTAGCCATAGTAGTATGATTAGAATAGTAATAACGATTATTATTTATTTATTACTGTTAACAATACTATTATTGCACATGAAGCAATGTTTTCCAGTTCAATAGTTTATGATTTGCTCTATGTACATATTTTCCCTCTCTATTTTGCTTTTTGATACAATAAAGAGAACTGTAAAGGTTGTGAAAATCCAAATGTTGCCAATGAGCAGTGCACAAGCACCAATTACAAAGATATGCAACTCACAAATGAAGCAGAAAGTTAAATCTCAAGTACTCTCATGTCCTACTAATTTCAGTGGGCTCTATAAGCAAATTACTGTCTGATTTTGTTTTCCCATCTGACAGAGGACCAAATCACTAGCCTGCCAGTTTGAAAAAGGCCAGCTCCTTCAAAGGCTGCAGAAAGGCCTCATTTAAAAAGCCTGTTTGTGTTGTGCTGGTGTGAGGCAGAGGAGGGGCCAGGCAGGAGAGTACCTGCTGGCTTTAGCGGTTGGCAGTCGTTGCTTGAGGACTCGGAGAGTGGCAGCAGCACAGGTGGGGTCCTGCTCTTCCTCGTTCTCTCTTCTCTTCGCTCGTGGTTGGGGGCGAACAGTGGCCGGTGGTGCTGGCTTCCCTGCTTTTACTGCAGTCAGCTCAGAGGAGGAGACAGGCCCCAGACCTGTGGTTCAACAAAGACCGAATGCTAGGCTTAGCAGAGCACTTTTATCCCCTTCCGTTATTTTTTATCAAAGCGATGATAAACAATGACTCCAGCAAATAAAACAAAAACTTAAAATTCCTTTCAGAATTTAGAGGAAGGCGGAGCTACTCCACAATGCTTTGCTAGTGAGCGATAACATATCAAATGTGATCAAATACTAGGCATTCATCTCTCATTTTAGATACTGTTTTGTTGTATGAATTTTAAAGAAGCACAATCACACCGACATTATGACCGCTTTCTCTTATGAAGACCATTACAATATTGCAGATCTGTAATTGCACTGATCAGCTGAGACTGATCATCAAACAGATGAATGTTTGAAAAAGAAAGAACCCAAAAATATCTTCACAACGAGAAAACAAATATTAAATGAAAGTGTAACAGCTTCTTCGCTATAATGGAACTCTGTAGTACAATAAAAACATAAGGTAAGTGTGTATGTTGTATATTAGTTACCTGTATAGAAGCCAATTTTAATAAGAACTGGTAACATCATAGAAGAAAAAATTGATGTCTGCAACAGAATGCAGACAGAATAAGATAGTAAACAGAAATGTTCCTAGAGATAATCTGCAATCCTTCAGCATGAGAATTTAAAGAGCAGTGAATGCCACGGATTTGAATTGAATGTCACTTGGGTACTTTTAGAATTTTCAGGATCACAATTTGTGACTTCAGACAGTGATTCTGAACTAAATAACAGACTGAGGAGTTAACACAAACCCCGTGACCTGACCAATCATCCCATCTTAATCCAATTCCCACACTCTTGAACTTGAGGAACGTCAAGGCAAGGTGACCTTAGACCCAATCATTTTGCAGACCAGTGTATATTAAGGAACTATTCAGATTTTTTCTTATTTCTTTCTCCAGCTTCATGTGTTAGTAAATATTTTGAATTCATTTTTATTATTCAAACTACAGTCACAAAACAACACAGTAATTTTACAGGTAGATTAGTTGTTTCTGTAAAAACTGGATCTATTGTGATTGAGTGTGTGTTTGTTTGTGTCCTGCAATGGACTGGGGATCCGCTCAATGCTTGCCTGGATAGGCTCCAGCTCCCCCATGAGCCTGTATTGATTAAAGAGGTAAGAAAATAGATGGACCCTACACTTTCCTTTTCTTTTGTTTATAGAGGGTTGAGCACCTTGACTGTTGGTCAGACTGTGACACAGCCTCAGTCTGCCTGCTTTGAACTGCCAGCATTGCCTTACTGGTGACCGGTAATTCAAAGAGACCTGCCATCAGACTGCATTACTTTGCCAATCCACTCACTGAAGGAAAGTGTTGGGGGACTAAGTACTGCTACTAAATGCCTTGCATGAAGTGAAGCACAATGCCCTTTTTTTGTACTTCACGAACTTAACTTTACACACAGTGATCTAGTGTTTGATGCAGGTTCAACTGATTAAATAACTCCTTCTTGTTGAAAATAACTAATTCCCCCCAATACTAAAATTGCAGTCTCTAAAAAAAACAAGCACTATTTTATGTTTTACAAGTATCTTATTGTCTGTCGGATTTTTCTTACTCTACTACAGTTTTTCATGTCATATAACTACATTCAAGTCACAAAAAGATTTCAGAAAAAGATGCCAGATGAATCACTTTGCTTTAAAACAGCACAAAGCTGCTTCTGAGCCAAGTTTATCTCATCAGTTTTGACAACCATTCCACAAAAAGGAATATTAAAAATTCTTAGAAAGAGTTCAAAGAAGAAGAACGAAAGTGATTCCTGATCTCAGGGGATGGTCATGTACAGGAAGGTGTAAAAGTGTAAAAGTGTTTATTATAAATCTGAACCTTTCTAACTCTACACCTTTCTTATAGTTGGTGGTAGGTGTTTGAGTGTCAAACATGACTAAAGACATTTTAATCATATTTTTTGTAAAATATTCCACTTTTGTGCTAAAATAGTAAAAAATGTAGAAGCTGAACATTTTTCTCCTTTTAGATGGAATTTCTGCTACGCTGACAACTTTTACTTCAAGTTTTAAAACAAGTGTCTTAAGCTATTTTTAATCATTTCTGGTACACATTCAATAAATACATACTGTAATCTTATAACAGGACAATACTCTTATGAATACAAGAAACTTTATTAACAATATGGAACTGCTGTTAATGAAACAAAATTAAAAATAAGTATAATTCAACTTCAAGATAAAAAGGTATAATTGAAGTAATGATGCTCATGAATCTTTTGTGGGCAAAATACAATGAGTTTGTTTTGCACCACTTATTAACAGTCACTTGCTGACAAAAAAAAAACTATAAACTTGGGTTGCGTACGTAATAAATAGTAAATATGGGTGCAGCGGAACTGTGTTATTGAGATGTTTCCCCACATCTCAATACTCCCTCCTCCTTTAGTGCCTAGAAAAGATGTGCTAGTAAGTTCAAGTTTGTAAAGATGATTCTAATAACATCTGAGATAATGATTTAATAAACGTCTGAAAAAGCCATCCGTCTTTCAACTGATCTGGTAGGAACAAGTCACAGGGGCTGAATGTGTTCATAGCCCTAGGCTTGGACGATAGAACATAAGCATTTTTTTGCAGGTGTCTTTTAAAACGCACTCTGATAAAACATGTACGAATGACAAACCACATAATCTTTCTTGTTGACATCCATCCATCCATTTTATAAGCACTTCTAATTCAGGGGCCAGAGGCTATCCTGGCAAAGAATAAGTGCTTTCCAATACATTTTTAGACCTTTTATGGGAGAAAACCAGAGAACCTGGGGAAAACCCATGCAACCACAGGGAGAACATACAAACTCCACACAGATAGCACCTCAGTTCCAGAATTGAACCCCAGGGTCCCAGCGCTGTGATGCAGCAAAACTAAAACCTGCACTGCCTCTCTTACTGTACAGCAAAATTTTCTTTAATATTTGTCTGAAAAAATTTAGAACTATGCATTTAAAGTGAATCTGGGATTTTGAGTGATTTGTTTTAGCTGTGGCAAAAACCTTCACAGTTAAATGTGAAATATAAAATGGTTGTCTATAGGTCTACAATTCATTTGCCTTCTTGTAAATTATTAGAAAAATATAATCCTTCCAATTTGCCCATTTAAGGAATCATACCCTTGCATATCTTATTAATCTGTTGTGTACTGCTTTTTAGATTTTAGATTTGCGAGATATAATTTTTAAATTAGGCGCCCCAGTGGAAAATATCTAAGCTGTTTTCTACTATATTGACTATATGTATGAAGCATTTCAGCAACAGAGTAATATTTCAGAGTCTGAATGTCCACTGGTGTGCAAAACTATACCAAAGGGTTATGTCATAATTTGCGTATCATTGCTGAGACACATTCCACACTCAAGTCAAGTCTTGTGTATTTTCCTTTTACCTGGGTGGGCTGGAAGAGCTAAAATGAATTGACCCCCAGGTCAGAAGAAAGACCCCAGCTAAGCTGTGTTTTGAAACAGATCCAAGGAAGGCATTAGGCCATGCTGCCTGGTTCATATAGTGCAGTTCAGGCACAAAATTATAAGTGACAAATTCTTGATGCAGCCATCAGCTCACAGTGATTCTGGGGCAAGGCACTTGACCTTTCTGAGCTACGGCCACCTCCCCACTCCTCCACCCCTCCCTCAACCAGATAGTCAGGGATAAATTGAGGAAGAAACAGTCTCCCTCTACTCTCAGCCTACTCCCTTGTTCTCTGTACCAACATGCAAGATACCAGTTACAATATTGCAAATAATGCTGCAAGTTCAAAAGATGTTCCACAAACAAGTATGTTAGGGAGAAAGAGTTAAAATGGCCTGTCCTGGCAATCACATACTTAAAATAAAACGGACAATATGTGTTCTGAAATTCTGATATATGTATGATGTTTATGGTATATAATGCTATGAAAAGTATTTTGCCAAGGTTATTGTTTTCAAAAGGATCAGGGCTGTCATTTTTCATATGTCAATGTAATCATTATTTGTAATGTTTTAGAATACCATAGGGCAAATACTAAAGGGATTGAAAACTGAATTTTGGAAGTGGTTTTGAAGGAATGGCACTTAAAAATGCTGCCTATCTAGACTCATTTAGCTAGATGAACATGGCTCTGAAAATTGGTCTAAAAACAACCACTTAAATATTCACTTCACGTCTAATTTTAGACAAAAATGTTCTCCTCTTACATCTTTTAATATGCTGGGTCTTTGTGCATAAAAGCAGCCAAAGCAGTGCAGCAACTTTTCTCATTTCAGCCACAGAGTGAGAAATGAATCTGACAAACGTATTGGCAATTGCAGTTGTCATAGGAAGAAGATGTCAGGGAAGATGACAATAAATACTTATTTAATTCAAGTAGTAATGCTGTTTTATTGGAAAAAAAAATGCAGAAAAATGCAGCAGTCAGGTTAACCAAAATGTGGCAACTCACAGGCACAGATTTTCCTTTTTTGTCCATAGGTGCTAACAAGTGTGAGGGCACATGATGCCATCCACACTGAAACCTTTACTATTTTTGTCTTGCAAGATGTCCAAAAACATGTCACAGTGTAGTCTTAACTTAAATCACCTGCATAAATAGTCACTTTTTCGACTTCTCCCTTGTCATTGATGGTCGCAAACTACTCCACTTGTGTCAAGTGCTTGTGCGCATTCAGATTTGTGCAATACTTATCTAACGCCAAAATTATATTTTTATTGCGGTCATTGTTTTATTAAAACATCAACATTTCCTTCAGTTGGCAAATCTAGTCCTTCGATAAAGTGAAATGAAGTGAAGAAAAATCTTTGAACCTAAAATATTTGCGATATAAACTAGACAAAAAATTACAATATGATAAAGGAAAAATAATAGCTCGGACTCTTCACTCAGATAGTAGCATACGCATTGTGTGTATCTCAGGCCGTGGGTCCTGGACTTGATTTGACAGCTCTGCCGTCATGGCAACTACTCCATTTAAATTTTCTGCTGTTGTGTTTCATGTGTTTGTTTTGAACAACACACCTCACAGAAATTTAACTTTTTCATGTACTAATAGTGAGGGCAAAACATCACTGTTTATTTCATAACATTATATAATAATGTTTTCTGAATTTTCTTTCTTGTCTTTCATTTTGTCAGGATACTACATAATGGTTGAAACCTTAAACATACTTAAAACATGTAATAGGTTAATTCCATGCTGAAAAGAGAAGAAGAAAACTTATTCAGGTGGCAGACCCACCTGAAATACTTAAAACATACCTAATACATAACATACTTTGGAACATATATGAGTAGGTAAGCAATAATAATAAGCTGGTTTGAGCAATAAAAAATAACATTGCATGCATAAAATACATATTTTTTCACAACAGTATTCCAATCTTGTTCCTGTTCTGTAAACCTTAGTCCACTATATCATGCTGATTCATTGTGTCATAGCAGAGTTCTTCTGAAAGGCATCATAAAATACCCCCAAATCCTTTCTTTTTTTGTTCAAATTGACCAAAATGGTAGCTATTTGTCTGAAGCAATAAAGTTGAGGGTGTTAAAGAGATAAATCAATAGCAGGAAATAGAGAGGCCTAGCTGCTGGCTGAAAGTTAGGCCGCCCAATGCTGGCATTATTGATTTTACTGAGTTCAGCAGGCCTTGTAATTAAAATGTAAATTTGAGAAAGAGATTATGTCCTGACAGAAATGGTGGGATTAAGGGGGAGATAAAAGCTCCTCAGTGAAAAGTGCAGTGAAGGAATGAAAGAAAAAAAAGAGTGTTAAGAGTAAGCTTGTTTTCCTTAGCGCTGGGCTTTGCGGTTTTTCTCTGGAAGATAACGTCTCGTTTCAACAAGAGAGTAAGAAGGATACTACAAGATACTTAAATTTGAATTTGAAATCTGCAGCCACATTATATTGTATTCCTTTTACGGGTTTTAACACATAATATCCGCTTACATAGGAAATGGAATTTACATTTTTAAGAGATTACAGCAAATCAAGATTAAGATTGAGTATATAAATCAATTTTACAATTACTTTACTAAACTATACTGAAATATATACTGATTACTATACTGAAAAAGACTTTTGTAAAATCTATTCCTTTTTTCTAAAAACAGTAAATTAACATATGTGTACTGTACATCTTCGTTGTGAATATGCTGCACAGTAATTGATTCTTCTGTGAAAAGCACGTTTCAACAGAGAAGTTAAGAGTTGATACTGAAAATAAACATGCATTCATGACAAATTCCACATTTAGTTGATTTACTCAATTTATAATACGGTAAGATCATGACTTATTTCTTCACAATAAGGGAAATAAGAAGAAACTGGAAATGCATCACAGCATATTCACTTCATAAAAACCTCAACAGCACACCTTGATACTTTATGTCCATAGGCTCTGAAATTCCTGTTGATTATTAATAACACCCCTTGGTCTATACATACATTCCAGCAGCAATGCCAGACAAGAGACATCTCCAGCAGAGACATTTCCAGCAGTTCTGTAATTGTTCTATTCAATTACACGGCAGCTTGACACTGGACTCAAGGAGGTGAAATGGCCAAGCCCTTCTTGCCACACAATGACTAGGTGCTGACAGGAGATAAGAGGCAGAAATCATGTGGATCTTACACTTTCCAAAACACACGTCACTTCAGTCTAAACGCTAGCTCATCAAAAGCTTCCTGGTAATAAAAAAATAACACTAATTAAATCATTCTTAAAGTATATTTTAATAATCCACGTAAAATATACAACTGTGTATATTGTTATTTGACGTGAATATGCTCATAGAAACACATTAAGACTTTGGTACAGACACATCACCTTAAAGTGCCTTAATTTTGCATAATAAAAATGTGTGATCTGTACTACTTTTCCTATTTACTATAATGCTCCACAAACATGTGAATTTGCTGAAAGCTTTTCATTGCATTTGTTCACATTTTCAGGAGACCAGATGGGAGGTGTAAATGATGGCTCCTGCTAATGAGAGGTCATTATTGGTCTTGTTTTGTTAATTTGGCATCCATAGATCATTACATACTTCACTAACCAAATGAGTCCCAGTCTTTGGCTTAAATTTATTTAAAGAGCAGATGATAAAGAAAGGCCTTAAACGTATGGCAGGAAATTTCCAAACCATTAAAAACAACATTCAATTCAAATTTGTTGCATTAAACTGAACTTTAAGGATGTGAAAGCATTTTATAGATGCTGCTACCAATTCTGAATTAGCAATGGCATTTTGTTACTTGGCACAGAAAGTTCATCTTAAGGATACGTACGAATGAAAATATAATAATTTAATGTTTTTCTATCTCTTTAGATCTACTATATAGTTTCAGTTCTTTGATTTCAATTAGCTTTGTCGAACCTCCAACTCAGTGGCAAATCAAATTCACAGCTGGTCACCACTAAAGACACGCTTAACTGTGCACCACAAGGACAAGTTAAAAAACAGGCGTGTTGGTGCTGTGTAAAGGTTAGGATTACAATTATGACTAAAGTTCAGCAAACATGTAATTATGTTTGCTTTTAAATACAGAACATAAGATAAGTTAACATCTTGAAAGTCTTTTTTCAAACATTTGATTTTTGTCCATTTTTGCAGCGACCCGCGAGTCAAACAAATTGAGAGTTTGGGTCAAACTTTTTTTTTCTGGGAAACAGCAAAAACAAAAAACACTTTCCCTGTATTGCAAATACATCCCACAGCACAGCAAAGGCATCAAAAATATTCCTGTGTGTAGTTTGGGAAAACTAAACTCTAACCCTAGATGGGCGTTTCTAGAACATCTTTCTTAACCTTTGGCTTAAACTGAGTTGAAGATGTGTTTTAAGGACTTCAAATTAGTTGTAATCATTTAAAAAACAAGCTATGAAATATTATCAATGTATATGATGTTAATTGCTTTGAATCTTCCCAATTTTTCTTTACATGTATGTAACATGTAACATGCAGCAGAAATGGTGTACAAAATAAATGTTTTTGTGCTGTGTAAAAGTTACAATAACAATTACCACTAACGTTTGGTCAAACGTATTACTGTGACTGTTTTTAAATGCAAAAAATAAAACAGGTAAGAATGTTGAAAGTGTTTTTTTTTCTCAAACATTTGATTTTTGTGCATTTTTTCCTGACCTGTGGGTCAAAACAATGGTGAATTTAGGCCAAACAACTTTTAGCCCAAAAGTAACCTATCTTTTAGCACTTTCCCTGTATAAGGAAAAGGGAGCAGCCTGTACTGTATATACTGGCAAATGAACATCTGGATGTCTATGTTTCTACATCTTAGAAAGGTGCAAGACAATAGATTATTCAGGTGGTCTCTCCCTTTATTGCTTCATAATGACTCTGTTTATTTGGCTTGTTGCTGTCCATGGCTCAGGTCCCCCGCAGCTGAGAAAACTCACCATACTCTTCACGCAGGTGGTCTGGAATGTGTGGCTCGTAGCCCTCCTTCTCCGGGACATCCTCAAAATCATCCTCTTCCTCGCTGTCTGCAGCTGCTTTCGGCTAAAGGAGGGGGAAAGACGTGGGATTCAAATCAATATACAACTTCAAATGCTTCTAAATACTTTTTTTAAAACAATGATTTAATCAATCATTTTTAAAATCCGGTTTGGTGAAAAAGTCTTTCTCCCTTTCAGGATTTTCTGAACCTTTTCATAATTTCGCCTCTGAATGTTATCAGAGCTTCGTGTGCTACTTAAGGATATATAAAGGGAACCTGAGTGAACAAATAACACCAAAGTGTGACAGTGGTTTATTTTATTTCATAATCAAAGTCGTACAACATCCAGCGCTCCCATGTTAAAAAGTCAACACCTCCTTGGATTCAGTAACTGGTGGCACAACCTTGATAACTGCAACCAAACTCTTCCTGTAACCGGTAACCAGACTCTCACCCATCATTGTGTAGGAATTCTGGCCCATTCCTTCATTACATACAGTATTGCTTCGACTCAGAAACATTTTAGGGTTTTCTAGCAAGAACTATTCATTTCAGGTCCTGCTACGACACTTCTATGGGGTTCTAGGTCTGGACCTTGACTTGGCCATTCTAAAACAATTTTTTTGTAGACTTGCTTGTCTGTTTGGGAACATTATCTTGCTGCAAGATCCAAATGCGCTTCAGTTGCTGGACAGATGGCCTGATATTCTCCTGTAGAATTTTCTGAGACAAAGGAAAACTCATAGGAGAGCTCCTATTCTGTATTTTTTACCAAAAGACAGTTGGGTTGAGTGAATCCGGTGTGCTGTGTGTATAAACTGATATTATTCATCAGGCAAACCGTTTCTTCTTCACATTGTTATTTTCCATAGTTAAAATGAGAAGAAGTCATTTTTATCACTTCTCCACTCAGTTCAGCATTCTACATTCTAAATTCATCACAGCACTGCAATCCATACAGCATGTTAGGAAAAAGTCTCCTCCGTCACCTTTTATTCCTACAAACTTGTCAGCTCAAGTTATTGCACAACTGATACCTCCGGTACTTGGGAGGGCAGCCAATTTCCTTCTGAAGCAAATGATGGCACCCAGCAAAAAACAAACGTGAAAGAGCATTTGGAAAGATTAAGAGAAGTGCACACACAACTGCTCTGATAATACTGAAACATTATGCGGTGGCAAGACTAGGGATAACCACAGAATTAAATATGACTTAATACTTTCTGCATGTAGGAGCAATAAAACCACGTGTTTCAATAAATCCAGCTTATTGTTCTTTATGTTAAAACATGCCAAGTTTTTAAAAACTAAGATGAAATATACTGTAGATCCTTTTTCCAGAAAAAAAACTACAGTGAGTAAAACGCTGTGATTTATTAAGAACAATAAGGAATGGGTTCTGTGCCGCTATACTAATTAAATCCATACACTATTTATTAAACAAAGTTAAATTTGTATTGCTTATCTTTGACGCCAGTCCCAACAGACTCCAAACAAAACAGTGTTGTCTTTAGCTTTTTTCTTTATTTTATGGTCACTTAAAATAGAGCCATTCATTTGATTCTTTTCACATGTTTATTTGCCTGGAGATTATGAAATGATTAGAAGCTCATCCGCAGTTCTCTTTTAGCTGATTAGCACTCAGATGGGACCCACCTCAACTATTTGTGATTCGTAAGATTTACTGCACATAGAATACCCAACTATGCAATAACAGGGAAGTCTGAATATTTAATTCTGATCCTTAATGGAATTTCCAGTTGACCACATCCAATTGTTTTTTGACTAGTGGCCTATTAATTGCAACTGGATATAAGAACACTTTTTTCTCTGTCTGTGATACAATCTATTGCTAGTGAAAGACTGTTGTGACATGAGAGCAAGAGGCCTTGTATAAGGCTATCACTGTGGGCATTAATACCAAACAGTAAATAAAAGTGCGTGAAGACTGTAGCTTTGTCCAAAAGATGTCAATCTCGAATGATTTGTTATTCAAAGGGCTGAAGACTTCATTGTTTCATTTACGGTGCCCTTTGAAAGCACAGCGGAAGGAACACTGAAGTAAAAAAATACTCACAATGAACTCTAATTCATAGAGTTCATAAAATATTTTCGGATAAAAAAACATTTTTTTTTAAAAAATTAAAGTCAATTCAGTTGTACATTCCTGAATCAATTAAACAAATTGCTAGCGCATTTCAAGAAAGCAAAAGTTTTGGGACAACTAACTGACAGGTATGTTTGTTATGAGGTTGTTGTTATTTGATTTGGCTCATGGAAGATCTGTGAACAGCCAGGAATTCTGAAATTTGTTTTTAACATTCTGTCTGTTCACAGAAGAAAATGCTTCCATACGTACTGGGCGGTGCTACAGCCTTATAATGAAGCAAATTACACAGCCCAGCAAAGGAAGTACTTCATCAGGAAAATCATAGACTGACCAAGTCAATTTAAAAAAACATTTAAGAAACAGTAAAGAATTTCAAAATAGCAGGCAAGAACTCGAAGTAGATCAGAAGGTCTTGGCAAAGAACCTCAAATGATGAATATGTTGAGCCAAATGGATAACAGACTTTATAAAGGTATCCAAACATTCAAAAAGACATCAAAACAAGTACTGACCTTTACTCTTTGACATTTACTTAAAATGTTCAAATACCTATAGATACTTGAACAGAAAAGTATGTTTTAGTTCTAATGTTCAAATTTATTGATTGAATGACCCAAAACAAAATGTATATTATAGTTACAATTCATACAAATTCCCTGACAGTAAAGATAAAATAATAGTTTAGACAATGCTGTCCCAAAACTTTTAGGAGGGAACAGTGTTCAAGTCAAGGTGTACAATAGAAAATGTCAATCCGATACCTCACTACTTTAACGGAGTCCAATAACATTGCTATCAGTGGGGCAGCCAAACACAACAGAGGGGTTATAGTCTTCATGAAACACATTGCTGGCTTTTGTTCTGGGGTCTGCACACAAGGCTTTATAATTATTTAGCTCCAGCTACTTTGTGATAAGTAGCAACATTTGAACAAAATAATCCAGTCAATAAATAGATTATGGATACAATTACCTCATGCTTAGCATTATAGACTTGTTCTCTCTAGGAAATGGCAATGATACAAGATAGCAAGGTGTTCTTCCCATGTGAAATGGGGTTGAGACCTGGACTAATTTCCCCAAAGTCCACCTTGATATTGTTTTCCGCTGCTTTTTCCCCCCATAACATCGGGGCTATAAAGCAACCAGTGACCCAGAGGTGAAAGGCTTTGTCTCCCCCCTGCCAATCCACTCAGACACCCAGCCCAGGACATGTTAATCCCTTCCATTTATTCCTGAGGTGACTAAAAAGACTTGCAAAGCATGAAACACAGCTTACAGATTTAAGGATAACCAGAGAATACGGTTCAGCAACACCATGAGCCATTTATTTTTAAGTTCAGACGAGAGCTTGAGCTTTCAGTGCGTAGGTTACTGATAACCATTTAGAAATCCAGTGAACAAAGAGAGGGTGGCTGTGTAGCAGGCCTGACTGGTGACAATGGGATATTAAGCCCCTCACCTCTGAGGTAGCTTGTGATATTCCAGTAAAATCCAAGTCTTCAAAGGATCCAGTGTGTGTGGCCCTAATAAAATCAACTCTCCTTCCATATTTCAGAATGAAAGTGTTCTAACATTGAATATGTTTTCATAGGGTAGTATGAAAACAGCACGAACAGGCACAGAGAACACACACTGCGCAGTAAGTTGACTTGTAAACACGAAAGCTGCAATTTACACAGCAGGCCCTGGTTGGAATTTACAGGAAGTAATGACTTCTCTTCGAACGCCAGCCTGACCAGTGCTATGCAAAACACTGTGAAGATGAAAGAAGTCTTCAGTCTCCACATTTTAAAAATGCAGTAGAGATCTTTAAAAACCTATGGTCACAACCCCCAGGTTCTTTTTATTCGTTTTCTATGAAAAATATTTTTTTTTAATGACTCAAAAAAGTCCATGATGGAGAATCTCACACAATACGGAGCACATAAAACTAGCTGAAACTGACTTTGCACTATCATTATTTTTTGTTTTATTCTGGTAACTGGTAAGATCTGGTAACTGAACATACAGTATGATATTTTGAAACTGAAAACAAGATGTATATAGGTCTGAATAAAACATAAACCCTGAGCTAAAATACTAACCACCCCAACAGGGCAGTAAACTAAAAGTGCATGATGTAACTACAAGTGTATGTTTATATCTTCCCAATTATTTTTCAATCATCCTTAAATCAATATGTCTTAAATGCAAACGTATGGCAGAACACAGCATGGAAAGACACAGAAATCATTCTGTGGATTAAAGGTTAAACAGACACTGTGCAGTTAGTAGATTTAAAATATCCTGGAAGCTGCAACTCAGACAGGAAAGATGCCTGGTTAGTTACTACAGGAAGTAGTTACTTGTTAGTCTCACCTTTAATGCACTTATCTGGGAGACTGGCACTGAAATATTATCACTGAGAACTCAACTTCACAAACTGCTATAACCATGAGTTGAGGCTTCACAGAATAAGAGGCAAGTGAGAGCCTGTTGAAGCCACTAGGCAGCACATAGGCAACCCCTGATCAGGACTATCGCAGAATGTCTTGTGTTGAAAAAGGGAATTCAATGCTCTTCCTTTTATCCTGCAGGTCGCGGGATCTCCGTTTTATTTCTACCTCCCACAAAAGGCACAGGCTGCAGGTAGTCTCTCAAAGATAATCTATCACTGGGGCCCGTAATTTTTGTTATCACTCTAACACTAATCAAAAGAGAAAACTGTCACCAGCGCTGACCTGTGAAACGTCCCAATTATACTCTTCAGAAATGACAGGGGCACTTAACTTCCCCACTGAGTAAATGACGACAATCAATCAAGTTTGAATAACAATGAGCCACGGAGCTGAAAATTATTTTTTGGTATAGAATCTTACCCAGGAATTTATGAAAGGTGAAAAGCAACCCAAGGTTTTGCAGGGCATTATGGTTCTCGGCTCAGGAACCGTGTGCATCAAACGCTAAACAG